CCGGCGTTAGGCTAATGAGTTTTATTGAATCCCATTCTTCGCGTGTATGAATGGGCCTCGAGCAAGAAGGATGTCAGCAGAGGCCTGAAGATGCTCACACCTACCCTCTCGCACCTTCCACATATGTGGCCAGAGGGGCCTCTGCTGCCTGGGGAACAGCAGCAAATATGGGGCTAGAGTGGCCTTAAGGCATCCCTCCCTGAGAGAGGAGGTTCCTTGGCCCCCAGGCAAGAAGGAATTCTTCCCCCAAAGATGCCCAATTGTTCCTAAATGGATTGAGCGCATCTCTACACATGCCTCTGCATTTCTCCCTTCTCCAAATGTAGATCATCCATCGCCTTCCCTGCGACTCGTGTGCACGTACCTCTATCAACTGCAGTGAGCAGCAATATGGGCCACACCATCCACCCGCACCTCAAAAATTCACCCTGGAGGCCTAGAGGGGATTTTCTTCCCAAAAACAGATGCAGCAGCTTTTCTGGTGCTCCAAGCCCATGTAGGCGCATCCTGGCTTTCTCCACCTGAGCAGGTGGGGGCTCCTTTCCTGCCCATCCACCGCAGGGGGAGGCTGATCCTGGCCACCACTGCTGCAGTAGAGACGAAGAGGGAGAAGCTGGGGGGGGGGCAGATTGCTCTGGAGGCCACAGGGCTGTGGTCAGAGGTCTTGGGGTGCTGTTACCATCCACAGCAGGATCCCCACACATTTGCAGCAGTCTCTTTCCAGAGCGGCTGTAAGGAGCAGGTGGGTGCCAGAAGGGAAATGGTTCTGACCCTTTAAAAAGTTGGGTTGGGAGCAGAGATGCAGCTGCTGAAGGTGACCTCTTCCCTACTTGCCTTTCCCTGGAAAGTGTTGATTTCCACCCTGGCAGCTTTGTAATTTCATTATTTATCTCCCACTTAGCCTTTGACGGATCAGAGCCTCGGCTGAGGCAAAGAGAGCTGCAGCAGGCATGCAAAGAAGACTGATACATAATTAATTACTCTAAAACAGTTTCATTAGGAGATGTGTTACACGACAGTTTGTCTTCAAAATCTAAGCAAGGTAACCAAAGAAACCAAAGAAAGAGAAGTCAGCCTTGCAGAGCAGCTGGCACGAGAGAAGGGAGCAGGAGACCGGGGAGTGGAGGACACTCTCTGGCCAGCCAGAAGGAAGAGTGTCCGATCATCAGCCTGCCTGCCTGCCTGCCTGCCTGCTCGGAGCTAGAACAGAATTAATGGCAGAGGGAAGAAATGCGAGCCAAACCATTCTATTTCCCAGATGGTACACAGCTAAAAGGTCTTAATGAACCGAAATGGGGATTTATTTAGCTTAACACTTGTTCACGGTAAATGGTGGAAAGCATGATTGAAGATGAAATCATCACAAAGAATCAACAGGGTTTTTCGGTCTCACGGACTGACAGCGTCAGCAAGGAGGTGGGTAGGGAATCTACGAGGACTGGCCACCAACCTTCCAAAGTGAAGAAGCAAAGTCTCCAGGGCAAAATTGGATGAGAATCTTTATGGAGCAGGACGCGGGATCGACAGACGGAGAGCTGAGAACAGAGAGCAGTGGGAGAAAGCACTGGGTGTCCCTCAGGCACCAGTGGCTGGGACTGGCTTGTTCGGAAGCGACTTGGAATTAAGGGGAACTATGAGGCAGTCAAGCTGGTTGGTGACCCCACGGAATGTTGGATGTCTGTAGAGCACACATTCATTCACTCACACACAATTGGGGAGGGGGGGGCGCTTTGGGATGAGCAAATGCTTGTCAGTCCACACAAAGGTCAAGAAACCCCATCCTTCTTTTCTATTTTTCCAGCATCCCAACTGGGAATGGCCCATTTAGAAAGGAAAGGAGGGCGATGTACCTACCACAACCAGATGAAACGTGGCCAGGTCACTAAGGAAGCAACTCTTATGGCAGAAGAAGACTCCGCCTGAAGGGTGTCCAGCTGGAGGACTTGCCTGGGAAGAAAAGGGCCTTCCCTTCTTCTGCTGTTGGAAGCTGCTGGAGGGACAGCCATGGGAGGCCTTTTGGGGCAGCTGGTGATGGACCATTTCTCCATCTCCTAAGCCTTCCTAGATTCCTTGGCTCTGAGCAGGCCAGGAGGGTCTTGTGGAAGGAGCGATACAGAGCCGGGAAAGAGACTGACAGGGGAGAGACAGGCCGGCAAAGGGCAGCCGCTGTTTGGATGCGGCACCTATTCAAGGTGGTGCCAAAAGGCCCTGGAGGGTCGGTTTGCCTTTTGTGTCTCATCTCAAATGTAACTCTGTGGATCTTCCTCCACCCCACCTTTCCCTCCTTTGCCTGCGATGTTTTTAATTCTGAGAAGAGATGGCCAGGAGAAGGAACATCCATTCTGCATTAACAAGGTTATTAGCACTTAATTATCAGAGGGGCCTGTAATTGAAAAGGCAGCACTCCATCAATGCCCCCCTCCCTCCATTCTCTAAGCTCCTTGAGGCCATCTGGGGGCTTTTTTCCCCTTTCCTTTCTTCCCATTATTCACAGGATGCGATACTTATAAATATTAAAGCCTCTTGTTTAAAAGGATTGCAGGGAGCGCCCTCCCCTCTGGGCTGGAGGTGCCCCCCCCCCCACCTAAGAATCTTTCTTAATGAGGGTCTGCTGCGTGTCACCAAAACTCACTGAGGGGGGGCTCTGAAGAGTGCAGGGGGAGAGGGGCTGGCGCTTTGGGCTGGGCTGCTCCCTAACAGCATCGGAAGAGGAAACGGGAGGGGCTACAACATAGAGTAAGTACCAGGTGTAACTAAGCACTTTTGTTCTCTCCGGAGCTTTCCAAGATCCCTTGTGGGAGGAGGGAGTGTAGAGAAAGAGGGAAACGGTGGAAGGAAGGAAAGGGGAGGAGATGGAATTGCTTTCCTAGTGGCCAGCAAAAGGCAGCCATTGGGGTTCAGCATAAATGAGCTTTTTTCCTGCCCGGACGTTTCCCTCAGAGAAATCGCTCACTGGCAGGTGGAGCAAGGAAGGCGATTCGGAAGAGCTGAGCAACGAGAGCTCCCTTTGTAACAATAAAGTCAGCCTTGCAGGAGCAAAAAAGTTTTACAACAAACCTCCCCACGTAAAGCAGAGAGGCCTTCTGCTGCTGGAGGGACGTCCCACCACCCCAGAGGGAGCAAGCAGGGCACTCTTGAGCTGGAGGAACTTCAAAGGTGAACCTGGGCCACGACTGAGGTTTGCTGCCCCCTGATGGCCGTTCCATGAACGGCAGCCCTCTGGGACCACGACTGAGCTGGTCACTAACAGCCGGCTAAGATCTCCTGAGGCCTGTGCCCGACTGGCCCCAGGGGCTTCCTCCTTCCTCTCCGCCCTTCCTAAGCAGCCTTGGCCCACCAGATGAGTAATAGTTACCCAACAGCTCAGAAAAGAGGGAGGTCCCCTGCGCCAAACTCTGAGCTGCCTTTTATACAAGGGGACGGTGGTCGATTTCCCTGGGGCGCTTCAGCTCTTAGCGGAGAGGGCACCCGGTCATCAGGCTCCGATGCCTGGCGCAAAGCAGAGGAGCAGCAACTCCCTCCCGTTATCTTCCCACCCGGGGTGAGAGCCGGTCATGGCCAGGCAGGCGGGGGAACCAGCCCTGGCCCAACTCTGCATCCACCTCCTGCTCCACCTGTCCAGCATGTTTCTGAGGAAGAATGGGGGCTACTGAGCACACCGAAAGCTAAGCCCTTAATCCTAACTAAACACATTACCAAGGAGCTCATCAACAAAAATCTCATTATTATGTGCGAGCCCAGGCTTAATTGCTTGTCCCCGACATGCACGATGTACCACGTAAGCTTATTACCCAGTTTAAGCTTATTATCACCACCATCGTCCAGCTTCCTGTCAAAAATATAAAACAGTCAAACAATGGAATGGGGGGGATGGGGGGAGGAATTAACAGCAGAACAGCCAGGCAAGGGATCTCCCTTTGCAAAAGGACTGACTCTGCAGGATGACACCCCCAGGCCCGGAAGATGAGGAGGTGGCGTGGTCCCTTCTCATTGAGGTGCCACAAGCCCCAGGGCTAACCGTCCCCCTTCCCTCCTCCCACATTTTCCAAGGTTTCAGCTGGGAGGGGCCAAGGACCCCCTTCTGGGGCTTCCCACTTCCACTTCCCACTGCCAGCCCTTCCTTGAATTTCCAGGTAAGTGGGCGCAAGGTGTGCCATCGCCCTTCCTGCCTCGCTGCCTGCCACTTTTTCTCCAGTCCCTAATTAAACTGTGCTAACGAGGCAAGCAGGATGGCAAAGCCGGCTGCACCAGACCCCGCCCACGCTGGCGCTCTGCAGACAAATCGTACCCAAAGGATGTTTACAATAATGCGTAATTCGTCCAATTATTACCCATTTTTCTATCTGCCTCATTTGCCTCGTGATTAGCTTGCTCAGGTTGGCAATGACAGGGCAGGACAAAAGCTAAGCTAAGATTTCCACACCTCCCACTCCGGTGGCTGATCCCGGGGGACCCATGTTCCTGGGCCATTCCCCAAATGGATGCCCTTGCCTCAGCAGCAGCTGGAGACAAGCCCCCACCCAGCAAAGGACCTTTCTCTCCCCTCCTTGCTCTGGAGCCACCACCACACTCCCAGCAGCCATTGATGGGAGACCGCCCCCCAAATACATAGCCATGGGGCACAGGGACAATGCCCCCCCCCCAGTTCAATGGCTCAGCCCCCACCCCTTCCAGGCTCTTCGGAAAAACACTCTGAAACAAGAACGTTGCTGCTCCAGACCCAGCTCACTCCCTGCCTGACAGTGGCAAACTTTGCCCAAAAACAGCTGCCCGCAAAAGGCCCCTCACACAACAACAAGAACAGACCAACTGTAACTTGTCAAATGTTGACTGGGAAGTTCTCTCTAGTCTGTTCATCTACAAACAAAGAAAAGCTGCTTCCATTCCCACAGAAAGGAAGAGGTGCCCTAAACAGACAAATCAACAGAGCCCATTTCTTTCATTTCTTTCTAGAGACACGGAAGTAAGAAGTTTCAAAAACAAACACAGGGGCAGCAGCATTAGGAAAAAAGAAACCTGTTATTTACAAACTGTACACTTAAATTGCAGCAAGTACTGAAAATCTGTGAAGAGCCCCGCAGCTCTGCAGAACCCGCTTTCTCCGTAAACGTCCTTTGCGCTTCTCTGCAGCTTGCAGGGATTCCCCAGAACAGCCTCCCGGATTTATGCTGCAGAAGCAGTGAGAATGGAGACGCTGCAAGTTGATTTTCCAAGCAAGCTTTCTGGATTGGCCAAAAAGGAGATGGCAGCCAAATCTCACTATGCCAGCAAGTCCTTTAAGGAGAACTCGTTGAAGAAACGGACCCCCTGCTCCAGGGATGCCATGGAAGTTCCCAAGAGACCGGAAGGGTGAGGATGCTTTACACCAGGAAAGCCCCACAACCAAACTATTCAGCGGGAGCAACCTGTCCAGGGAGACGGAGAGCACGGAGACAAGAGCCGTATCTTCTCTGTGCCTCTCCCTCCCCAAAATACCTGGCCATTGGGACAAGAGGTGACGACCAGCTGCAGCATCCTCCGCCTGCCCTGTGAGTTCTGCCTTTCAGCTGCCTTCCTGACATCCCAGGGGTCTCCGTTCCAACAGCTTCAAACACCCTCCGCATCCCGGGGCTTCTATGCAGCTGCGCTGGGCACAGCGGCTCTCCTGCAGATTCTAGGTGGTGAACTCTGGTAGGAGGAGGATTAAAAATCTTTGTCCTGGTTTGGGCCGGATGCTCACATGTCCTCCACACTCCACTTGTATGCGAGTTCCTGTGTCGCTTTTTTACTTGCTATTCTGGCAAAGCGCTTCTTCTCAAAACCGTTGGACCTGCAGAAGCAAAAGGTAACAGCTGCCAGACGGGAGCTCTGGGTGATGCATAGTTATGGGGGGAACTAGATGGCTTGCATGGCAGCCTCAGTGCCTTCTAGGTACCAAATTAGTACGGGGAGGGGGGGGGAATGCAACTCCCATCCAGAGGGCCCCCCCCCCAAATCTGCATAGAAAACCTGCTGTCTCTTAGGTTCCTGGAGAAAAGATAAAAGGAATGCAAGGCTGTATTGTGGAGTCCCTGCTGTTCTGTGAGCTTGGAGATGTGCTTGCAGACATTTTATTACCCAACTAGATAACATCACCAGGGCCGGTGAGTGAAGGATTTGCTCCCTGTTTATGTACAGCAACATACCCAATCAGTGCTTCCAGGGTTAGGATTAAGGTTAGGGCAAGGCTGTACCTTAAGGGGGGGGGGGAACTGTAGCCGTGAGTCAACACTGCAAGCAGAGGCCTGGGCCCTACCTCCTGCCCTTTGGGAGGCAGAACTGAGGGGCCCTCATTCTGTCAGAAAGAGCGACTTACCTATCTACTCCATCCCAGCGGTAGCCTGGCCAGATGTTAAACCTGTTCAGTGGGGGAGCTGGCCCATTATACTTCGGCTTTTCTGGAAGAAAGGGAAGGAAACAAACAATGGAAGCTCTTTTTCTTTTCCCTTAAAGAAATCAGGCACATTAACAACACAGACCCAAGATACAGAGAAGCATTAGAGATGCTTTACTGATGATATTAGATGCCTGGGCAAAAGGCAGACAACATCACTGTGGCAAGCTAGAAAAATCAACCAGGGAGCAAAAAAAGGTGATTACATTACCAAATGACTTTTTCTGCATCTGCCTCTTTTAGATGTCTACCACCCATTCCCTTGAAAGCGGAATGCAACAAATTGGGGCGATTTCCCACTGTTACACCCAGACCCTCTTCCCTAAACCCTTTCGGTCACTATTTCTACGCTGGCTACTCCTTTTGATGGTTTCTCCCCCCAGCTGCCAGCCTGAGGCTGCGAGTGCTGACCTTTGGTGCCTTGCCCCTCCTTGGCCGCCTTCTTCTTCCTCATGAAGTCGGCCATGGGGTCTCCTTCTCGCTCCTGCTCCCGCAGCATCTGATCCAAGTCCTGGTCATCGATGTACCTCGCCAGGGGCTTCTGCATTTCCTTCACTGCATCTTCCACGTTTTGCTGCTGCTGCCGGCTCTGTGCCAGGCTGGGAAAGACACGGGTTGCATATCATGAGGCGGTAGGAGACAATGCCACCACTCTCAAAACCAGTGCACAAAATAGCTGTGGGCTGCAGCTTAGCAAGAGAGCACGCCAACATGCAGGAAGCCTCAAGTTCCACTTCAGGCCTTCTGCCAAAAGACAGTTAAGCGGCAGGTCCTTGCAAAAACCTCACTTTGAGATTCCGGGACTTGCTAGCCTGCTGGAAGCCAACACTGGCCCTTTGCCCAGGGCTCCCACACTGAAGCACAGAAACTGCCAGCTCACCCTTTCCCCCACTTGGCATACTGCTCGTCCCGCTCAGACTTCTCTTCTGCTCTTTTGCGCTGCTCCAGCCGCTCCTGCTTCAGGTCCCTCTTACGGCCCATCTCATCCCGGAAAACTGTCTTCGCGTGCCGAGATTCATCTGAAGGGAAATGGATACATCAGAGGATTCAAAAGCAGCCACGCAGGTAAGGATGCTTCCAGGTGGAGGTCTGTTGTCCTCTTTTTCTTCCACTACAGATTCTTGCAGGAACAGCAAAACCATGGCAGGGAAGAGAAGAGGGATAGAAACGAATGGCAACACTTGATCCCCCACAGAATCTCAAGAAAGAAGCCGCAGGGTTTAATAATGCAAACACAATGTGGAAGTCTCTATAATCAGGCCACCTTCTGCCCTGAACATCCAACAAACTGGCCACCTGGACCAGATTCTGCCTGGAAAAAGCTGGGCAGAAGCCCAGAAGCTTGTGCTATGGATGCGTCATGCAATTTCAGGATCTGTAGAAATTCTCACCCTCCAGATGTTTGCTATTGTTGCTGCTGCCAGCCTTCTTACGTTCCTGCTGCTCCTTTCTCAACAGATCAGCTGATACCAAGCCAGCTTTGCCCCCTGACAGCATCTGAGGAACACACAAGGTGGAATCAGCGTGAGTGGCATGTTCCATAAATCATTCATTCACGGAACAGCCTATTGCCTCCTGGCTGCCTCAGCTGGAGCAAGGCTTTCTCCCCCCAACTGGGCACCGCAGCACATCTCAGGTCCTTGCTGGAAGCCAAAGCCTCACCCTCTGGCTGCTCCCATTGGACTCCATGGCCTGATGACGTGGCAAGATAGTAGAGGGACTCCTGGACTTGTGGCCTTTCTTTTTTGCTTCTGCTCCTCTTCGAGGAGGAGATAAGTCCGAATCTGAAGATTTGTGCCGATTCCTTCTCGGAGGGGAGAGATCAGAAGGAGAATTTGGTCGCCGTGCGCCTGGTCGGCCAGTGGCCCGTGGTGGCGAAAGGTCCGAATCTGAGGTGGCTTGAGCTCGCCTCCTTGTCGGAGAAGAACCAGAACTAGATTCTGAATCATGTCTCTGCCGCTTCCTTGGTGATGCTGCTGTTGGCTGGGGCTTCAGGGTGCCTGGAAAATCCATGAAGAAAAAGAGACATTTTCAGAATGCATCACCAAGGATAGCTGATGGTTGCCAAGATATCACTTAGGAGTTTGGACAACTGACACCTCAAATTACGGGAGGTACTTTAGCACAGGGTTACTCACTTCTGGATGGCAGCCCCTTCTGAGGCAGCAGCAAGTCTCCCTCCGCACGAGATGCTTTCTTGCAAGGCAGCGACAGATCAGCACCAGCCGCCGCCTTATACTTCTGGCTGGCGGAGCGTTCATCTGAGAACAGTTCACACTGGCTTCCACTCGAGCCTTTCACACGATTTGTGCCTGATGAAGGCTCTCTTTTAGGAGACAGATCAGGCTGGGCATGATGGGCCCTCCTAGGCGGGGACTGGTCCAACAAATGCTTTTTTTCATTTGTTCTGGAGGTTTCTGAACTGAGTATAAGGTAACAAAAGCAACAATCTAAGTTTCTAACAAATATACCAACTTTCAATCAGCATTGTATTGCAAGATACAGTTTTATATATTCTTGATCCTTGCCTGGGTACTAAACAAGAATCTTAGGAAAAATTCTCCTGATCCAAGAACTGTCTGGTTTATTCAGCAATCTGGCAGTAGCATATAACATCAAGCAACACAAGTTTTTCTTCCTAAGCCAAAATCCCAACAACCACAAAATTAGAAGTGGAAGGGGCCACTGAGTTCCGAGAACTCAAAACTTGCCCAGTGTAGAGATCCAAATTAAAGCATTATTAATAGCTTTAGACGGTCCAACCTCTGCCTGAATGTTGCTTGACATCCCCTACTAAACACCACCCAAAGAAATCCTGAAAACAACTACAAATAATACAATCAAGTAAATTTAAAATAAATTAAATAAAGCACTGGAAACAGAAAGCTCATTCCCAGTTGGCTTTGGATTTTTGTTTTGGAAACTTCACTAAATCAATGGATTGGATAGTGTGGAAATTCAGCAGTTGTGTCTTTAAAAAAGTGCCACTACCACTTACTCCACCCACAAACTGTCTGAAGTAACTGCTTCTACACGAAATGAAAAGTCTCCAATCAGCAGTAAATGCAATTAATGTGGTAAAGCTTTACCCCAAAATATTGTAAAACTCTCCAAGACAAACAAGTATGTCAATCCTGAGCTACAAATATTCTCCTTGATTAATACAAGCAATAGACATAGCTGGAAAGATTAGGCTGTTAGCTACTCAGCTAAGGTTCCCACATCTCACCTGCTTATTGATGCGGTTGTCGTAGAATGTCCAAATAACTGTGACTCTTCATTCTGATCTTTAAAAAGAAATGTAAAGCCTTCTTAACACACAAGGCATCCCTAACATCCACAATTGTCTCTCTTCATATGACTGTTTCCCAAAATGTAGAAATTACAACTTGTAGAATTCCTAAACAGCAAGCAAAGCTGTGGTGATCTGGAGGGCACCAAATTTGTTTCTGAAGAAAGCTTATTTCCCGAATGAACAGACATTTCATTTTTTTTAATGGTTTTTTCAAAGGAAAATAAAATGTGGAACTTAGACAATATCTTCCCACTTTTAGGTCTTCTAAATACCCCACAGAAGAAAAATCCTATTTTCAACAAACTGCATCTTATCAGAGAAGCAAACAAGACACTGTGTTAAATTCCTCATACAAGACTAGGTATGGCGAATTGATTCTACAAGTGCACAATTTTCTTTCTTCTGATGTAAAAGCACTAAACATTCAGTAGTACTTATCATTCTATTCCACAGCTTTCTTTCCAAACCATTCCGGCTTCCACCTTTTAAAGTCTTTTCAGGCAGCGCAACCCGAACCCTCTTTGCTCAAAGCCTGGATTAGGTAGCAGATGCATGCAGTAAATCCAGCTCAAGTATCTCACGCACAATGAAACCGTTCTCTCAGAGAAGCTCCAAACTGCTAACCTCCTAATAACTTCCATTTGTTACTTGCTCGGAAAGTTTCCATCCATTTAACTTCATCTGGCCGCTCATCAATAAATTCAGCCACCTAGAAACAACAGACAAGACAGAGCGGATTTTTTTTCTGCACGGCTCAAAGTCCTCCTACCTAGCAACCACTTAAACTAATAAAGGAGCCTGGTGGTGCAGCAGACTAAACTACTGTTAAAAGTAGCATTTAGCTGCCAGCTGTATGCAATTACTGCGAGTTCAAATCTCACCAGGCTCAAGGTTGACTCAGCCTTCCATCCTTTCAAGGTAGGTAAAATGAGGACCCGGTTTGTGGGAGCAATAAGCTGACTTTGTATAAAAAAGAACACCGCTTAGGGGGGTCCGAAAGCCCTACTAAGCAGGTATATACAAAAGTATGAAGGCTATTGCTTAATGCATTGTAAGCCGCCCTGAGTCTCCGGAGAAGGGCAGCATATAAATCAAACTAAATTATTATTAATAATAATAATAATAATAATAATAATAATAATAATAATAATAATAATAATTGCCCTGAGGATCGGCCCCAGCACAAGGAAGACAAAACCTGGGATGCCGGTGATGGAACCAGATTGGATCCTGCAACCAGTTAAACCGTTTCCACTCCACGGGTCCTGCTTTCTCTGACCGCTTCGGTTTTGCATCTGGCGATGGGCCGCAAGTCAGAGTTATAACCGTCTGCAGGCAACCAGCAAGGAGAGGCCAGGCGAGGCCCCCGCCGCCCCCCCCCCCCACTCACCACGGGCAGGTCGCTCTCGTCCCCCTCCTCTTCCTCCTCCTGGCCCTCATCGGCAGGCCTGCTCTTCCAGCTCACGTCGTCGTCGTCCACGATGCGCATCCTGCGGGCGGCGGGAAAAGAGCCCCTTCGGCACCGGCTCGGCATCGCTCCCACACGCGCCACGCCCGGAGGGAGGGAGGGAGGGAGGGAGGGAGGGAGGGGAAGCCCCGGGACGCCTGGCCTTCCAAGGCCCCTGGCCCGATCCTCCCCGAAGGGCGGCCGTTCCGCAGACGGGGGAATCCCGCCGGGGCTCCCTCCAAGCGGACCCAGCCGCCCCTCCGGGAATGCGGCCAAGCGGCCCAGGCTCCCTCCGGGCTTCTCGCCTCTTCGCGGCGCCCACGAGCCCCACTAAGGGACGCCAAGCAGCGGCTGGCCCAGGCCCAGCAAGACCGAATTCACTCACCGGCCCTCCGCCGCCGCCGCCGCCTTCTTCCGCCGCCGCTTCTTGCCCGCCTCGGCATCGCCGCCCTCCAGGTAGCGCCGCCTCAGGTACTCGGCCTTCGAGAGGCTGGAGGCCGCCGCCATCTTCTCCGGAGACCCGGAAGCGGAAGCGGGGCGGCCATCGAGGCGGAGCTTCAGAGAAAACGGCCCCTCTCTGTGGTCGCCTCCGGAGCACAATGTCTCCCTCTGGCGGCGCCCGTGGCTGCCAGCGCCCCACTCCAGCGCATCCTGGGAGGCGGCTCTTTCGTTTTACTGGGTTAACTTGATTGTTGCGAGTTGCCCAGAATGAAGGACAGGCGTAATTATGACCGCCGCTGCCAGTGAGTTGGCAAGATGCCCCCTGCAACGGATCTCACTCTGCCTCTCAAGGTGCCAGCAGACCCCAAAAAGCAGCTCCGATTGCCCCTCCCCAGGCGCTGCTTTCCTAGCCCCTCTCGGTTCCTCTTTCCCTGCTCTGAAGCTCCTACCACCCTTATGGCCAACGCCAACAGCACCTCGCCTTCTTAAACTGGGAGCAAAAAATAAAGCCAGACCTGCAGCAAAGCCCCAGGAATCTGTAACCCTCCCACTCTTGGCCACCGAAGCCTGAGCCGTTTTAGCCATCCAAACACCTGTTGCTTGACTTGAAATTGGATGCAGCCGCTCCTTTCATCTGTGCCACGAACTAGAGTCAGCGTAGGGGTTCACCCACGTCCTCCAAGTGGCTCGGGAAAGGCAACTTGGAGGATGATTCGCTATGGGAGCCCCACAAGTGGAGGTATGCTCTGCATCTAGAGGTCTACCCAGCCCTAAGCACCTCGGTTGTGTTTAGAAAACAAGCGAAATCCCCCACTTGTTCCGGGGCCTTGGATTCTGAAGGATTAGAGATGAGCATCAGAGGTGTTTTTCCTTATTGATCTGTCGCTTTCCTCAGTTACGTATAATTTTCATTATTCCAGTTTTAACTTTGCTAAGGGCCCCGAGTCTCTTCAGAAGGGCCAAGCCGAGACACTGCCAACCTCTCATATGGTGGGGCTCCCAGTTGCTACAACCCCTGAATCCATTACTCGCACCAGCAGAATACAGGAGAGTTGTAGGCAATTATCAACATGGCTCTTGGTAGTACAAGGGCAGCTTGCAAACTCTTGAGAGAGAAGGGTCGTGTAATTCCCTCCCTTGGGCTGAAGAGGAAAATGGCAAGAAGGCAGAGGTCACCGCTTCTTCACCCAGGAACCCCCAACAGAACCCTTCCACTTCACTTTAAGACAAGGACACCGACTTCCCTGCTTCAGTTTTAATAGTTGAGTCCAGCCATCCTGCCTTCCATGTGTGAGGCAGAGTCAATCTTGACATGACAACAAGCTGCTGCTTGCCAAAGAAAAGTGAGTCGACAAAAGCTTGAAACCCAACAGTCTATTACTCTCCACATGGTGTCCAGCATGTCATCTTGACTACTGAGGGGAAGAAACATCTGCCTCGTAGCCCTCTGTTTTCATGTCATTCAGGCCCAGCTCCTCGTTCTGTTCAAACCGCCGTTCGTATCGCTCCACACACAACTCCGGGTCTTCTTCAGGAGCATAGAGATTCTGGAAGTGCAAAGACAAGACTATGAGGCAGCAGCCTGCGTGCAATAAATCCCTGGGGTTTGCAGTCTTTTGCCCAAATCCAGTAGGATTCCTTTTAGGAACAGGTCTGGGGTTTATAAAAAAAGCCAAAATCAAACATGCTAAGAATCATCTACACCATTATTAAAAAATATGCACAACAGGGTAACATAAAGAATGTCCTTCAGCCTCTTCACGCACCAAGGTCAGCCTTCTCCATACCCAACACTGGCCAAAGTCCGGCTGGCATATCCAAAGGCGGCCAGAACAATGCCACACACAACCCAACAGTTCAACAATGAAGGCCAAACAATTTCACCCGAGAAAGGTAGACTTTAGAGCAGCCTCCTACATCCTGCCCACAGGGACAGTCCGTATCAGAGGGTGCCTGGAAGCCCCGAGGCCAGATATAAACCTATGTTTGCCCTTCACTGAGCCATGACAGGCAACATGAAACAGCTGCATTTTCAAACAAAATACCCAATGCCTCTTTTAAAACCTGATGGACCGTTCCCTCTTCCTCCCATGTTGTTTGCATTGATTTGCCTTACCTGAAGGTAACTGTTTCCTGCAGGATCATCCAGAACAAGGTGTACCTTCATCTGCCCATCTACAATCTGGCAGAAAAAGAAAAGCTCTCCATCTGACCACAGAAAGCATCGCCCGCGAAATGCAAGGCTTGCCATCCCTCCCGCAATGGGCCTGCAGGGGGCTGACGTTGGTAGCACGAGGGGCATGCAAAGGCAGCCTACCTGCTGGAACTTCCTCCCAAAGGCGCACAGTTTTGCTGCTTTGTCGGGGCAAGAGCCGTCCCCCAGGGTGAAAGGATTCTTTTCCACCTGCAGGAGAGACGGCTCAGGTTAGGCCCAAGGCAGAGGCAATGCCCCGCTCTCCCAGGCCACCTGAAGGCATCACCTCTCTGATCAGCAGGCCCAGCCGCCCTGAGACTCCCCCAGAGAGATCCAGCAGCCACTTCTCTGCCTTCTGCCCAGATGGCTCGAGTCAAAAGGCAGGAGCAGCTCACCCAGGGCCGAGGCTTTCACGTCCACCACTATTTCAGCTGATCTCCAGTTCCTTCATTGGAAGAAATGTGGCAATACAGGACAGACCTCCGATAATCGCTCAGATTCACTCACCAGAGCCTGGATGTCCTTCAGCAACCCTTCTAGAGTGGTGAATTTTCCACCCAGAGCTCCCATTCCTAACTCAAACTCCAGCTCTGGAATCTCTATCATGCAAGTTTCTGACTGCAAAAAAAAAGAGAACGTCATTTATTTCCGGGAGAGGCTGGCTGTAGGCCTTTACAAAGAGAGTCAATGTCAGAACTGATGGAAAAGAGCGTCACCTTTAGAACGTCCCTGGTCATGTCTGCAGGGCCCGTCACATGAAGGGTTATCTTGGTACCCAAAGGCTCGATGCCTCCCCCGGATTTCACCTAAGGCAATGGAGAGGAGGGTCTCAAGTGGTAACACAGAGCAGAGCCCTCGATGACCCACCTTCCAGAACGAAAAGACTCACCTCGTTTGTTCTGTGCCCACAGGCATCGCAGTTTGTAGCCATGATGACGACTTCCTTGAAATGGGGAATCTCTGAGGAGAAGCAGTAAAGAAAAACTCCACCATGCAGACTCATCAGCCTCTTGCGCCACCCCCCCCCACGCGTTGCCTTGGGGGCAGAGGAGGAGCCCAGTCGGCTCCTTCTGCCCTCCAAGAGCCAGTGCCCGCACCAGGGCCATGCATATTTTGGCCGTCCATCACAGGACTGATGCAGACAAGCAGTGTCCCCCACAGGCTCAAAGGATACGCACCAGCTTCATGTTTGTGCTGGCGGGAGCGTTGCATTCAGGACAGTTGGTGTTGAACTGCAGAACCTGGTAGAAGAGAAGCCAGCCTGAGGCACCTCTGCCCGGAGGGCTCCTCTGCTCCTGACTGGACAGGCACCAGTCCAAAGGGGAACTCTGCCACCCGAGTGCCAGCCTCTTCACCACCCACTCACCTCGTTCCTCAGATCCTCTGCAGAGTCAGCTGAATCCTCCTCCAAGCCCTCTTCCTGGGGTGGAACAGAGGGGTCCGTAAGCGTTTGGCATGCAGACCCTCAGGGCTTGCAACAGAGCTCAGAGGCCACAGGAATGGCTTGGGGCTCCACCCATGCAAGACCTTTCCAAGCCCTCCTTGTTACCTCTATTCCAAGCAGAGCTGCCTGCTGGGCTGTCCTCCTGTAATGGGTGACCTCTAGGGCATCGTCCTTCTGCGGGGCATGAGGGTTCTCCACAAAACTGTTTCCCGAAGGATCGTCAAGAATCTGGAGGGGAAAAGAGGTGCCACCAAAATCACTCTTTTGCCGGGATTAACAATGCCTGCAGGTGGAAGCTGCTCTCAGCATCCCAAGGTAACTTACAAATGTGAAAGCCGACTCCACTTCCTTCAGGCCTTTCAACTTAGAGATGAATTCGTCGATTTTTCCTGCCACTTCAGTGTCCATTTTCTATGGCCAAAAAGCAGAAACAACTGACTTGCTTTCCCAATGGAAGCAGCACACACAGGGCAGCCCCCTTCTAGGCTCCGAGCTGGGACTGTTCCCCCAGAAAGGCAATTCTGCAGTAAGAACCATAAGCCACCAGTCAAAACCACCTGGGCTGGCTTGTTCGTTTTCTGGGCCAGCTGACTGCATTCTCTCCCCACCAAATTAAGACAAAGTCGACCCTGGACCACAAGCAATTTCACTGTGAAATATTTAAGGTGCCACAGAGCCCTTTGTTGTGTGTTCACAGAATCTCCCAGGTGGAGCTGTCAGAATTGCAGAAGGCCATGTGAAAACAGACAGAAGACCATCCTCTGTTTCACTTCCCGAGGGGGCCTTCAAACCCCAATAATTTACTTATGAACAGGATGCTCTAGAACCTTTTGGGCACCAGGGACCAGTTCCATGGTCAGAGGTTTTTCCACGGACTGGAGGGGGCGTGGTTTTGTGTGCCGCCTGCATTCCGTGGAGGGGGCTTCGCTTGTTTGCAGGGACCAGTTTCTGGCAGGCCACACACCAGTGCCAGTCCATGGACCAGGGACCCCTATTCTAAAACAGCTATCAGAGGGTTGTTTGCCCAGGTGGCAGGAAGCCTATCTGCAATTAACACAGCCAAATGCCAAGCTAGAAAGTTGCCCCATGTGAGGAAAGCGCCGCCCCTCCTTTTCCCAGATTCCTTTGAGCAGCTTACTCTGCGGTCAGGCTGATCCTGCTCCAGTTCTGCTATTGCTCTGTCAAGGATCCCTTCCAGGGTTGTAAGAACTGATAGGAGGGAAAGCCACGATTACTCCATGCTTCCAGACAATCACAAATTTCTTCCGCCCAGACAAGGAAAATAATTATCCTTACTATGAAAAAAACCCACCAAACTAATAATATGGCCTCCTGCCAGATCTTCTCGGGCAAGGCAGCGATCAGAAAGAAGGCTGCAGCTTCTATCCCTCAAAAGATGGCAACACACACACACCAGGCATTCTCACCCTTGTCTAACCCCAAGTCGTCATCCCCCTTGTGCCCTAATTCCAATCAGCCTGGAAAAATAACAGCAGATGACAGGAGCTGAGCCCCGCGGATTAAAGCCGCACTTCCTCAGAGCCCAAAAGGAAGCCAGCTTGGAAAGGAGCCTACGCTCCCCTCCTCAGCCCAAAAGAACGCTAGCTGGAGGGCCACAGCACCCGGTTACCAAAATCCACCGCAAGCAGCTCCTCCTCTTCCTCCGCAATGGGTCTCCCCCAGGAAAACAGGGAGGCCCGGGGGGGGGGCTCCTCTCCCATGACCCTCCCCCTCCCCCTGAGGTCCCAGCAGGGCCTCATACCCACCTCCCTTCTGAGAAAAAGCGGGGATTTCGAAGTCCAGCTCTGGCACTCCAGCGGTGGCAGTGTCCGTCTTCACCACCGCCCTGTTCATGTCCTGCGGGAGGAGAGCATCAGGAGCGGTTACTCTGCCCCAGGAGGGGGGGGAGGCCTGGAGGAAGGGGCCCCGACACAAGACGCTCCCCCCATCAATAGCCCCCCCCCACAAAGCCCCCGGCGGGGGGAGGGGAAGAAGCGCCTCCGGAGCTCCCCGTCCTCTCTCTGCGGGAGACCGGCGCTTCCCCTCCTTCGGGGGCGGGGCGGGGCGTGTCCGGAGCGGCCCCCACCTGCCGGCTCTTGACGGCCAGCGCGTAGCGGACCCCGCGCGCCTGGATGCGCCCGGCCGACTGGATCTCGGCGTTGGTCCAGCCGCAGCTGCCGCAGGCGAAGGAGCCGACGATGACCTCCCGGAAGAACGGGATGCTGGTCAGCAGGAGCCGCGTGGCGCCCTGCCGGGAGAGAGAGGCTGAGGCCCGCCCGGGCTCCCCGGCACCGCCGCGCCTCCGGGAGCCCCGCCGCCCCACCAGGCCCCGGGAAGCGCCGCGCCCTCACTTGGCGGAAGCAGGCCATGCACAGCGACTCCAGCTCGGTCGGCAGCTGCTGCTCGTCGTCGGCGCTCAGCGGGTGGAAAAGCCCCCCCGCGACCCCCGGCTCCCGACCCACCGCCGCCATGCCGCCCTCTGCCTCCGCACCGGCTTCCGCTTCCGGCGGAAGGAGAACGCGGGCGCCCCTGTGACGTCACCCTCAGGCGCCCCGCCGCCCTGCCCGTGAGCGTCAAGAGGCGGCCCGCGGGCGCCGCTCCCTTCCCCAGGGGGCGTGGGGGGGGGGGGAACTCCCGCGCAGGATGCAGAACGGCAGAGCCGGAAGGGCCCTTGGAGGTCTTCTAGTCCAGCCCCCGCTCAAGCAGGAGGCCCGCCTGGACCATCCCTCTTCTTCCAAGGGCCCCCAGGGCCTCTGGGGGGAAGGAAGGCATTGCCACCGGCTGGTTGCCCAGAGCTCCTCACCCGTGGCTTCTGCTCCTGCCCCCGGGGGCTTCGGAGGCGACCCCCCCCCTCCTCTGTGGGGCAGCCCTGGGAAGACTGCAGCCATGTGCCCCCCCCCCCCCCCCCTCTTCATGAAACCCCCAATCCCTGCCACTGTCCTCCTGCGTCTCCTTTGCCCTCCGTGGCTCTTCCCCGCACCCTTTCCAGAGGCTCAGGCTCCTTTTTATGAGATGGCGGCCCTCATAAGTGGATGCACTCTTCCACCTCTCGTCTTCCCAGGGCTTTACAAATGGGCACTTCCCGTGATCCCTGAGGAAAGGCGGGAAGCCAGCGAGGGGCCTGGTGGTCCAGGGGAGGCGCCTGCTGAGCAAGGGCCGGGCAGTGGGAACCCCCTCCCTTGGGCAGGCCTGCCAGTTTGAGGCCGCTGCCATCCTTGCCACGGGGTTGGGGGGGGGCATGCACAACCTGGGGTGGCCGCAGGGCCTTGGCGTTCCTTCCTGAGTGGGGGGTCTCTGCCCCACAGTCACTTGTGGCTTGGTCACCCCCAGATTGGGCTCCTGCCGTAAGGGTTAGGCCATCGGGCTGTTGTTATTTAGCTCTGCTGCTTTTCTCAGCCTCTGTTTTCTTTTTAAAATGCTTTAAAATGTTTATTAATATTTTACAGATAATGTTTTATTGTGTGCCACCTAGAGTCACTTTTGTGTGGGACGGGCAGCCCTGTCCAGCTGAAGAATAAATAAAATCTGATGGAGAGCCCCTTCCCCCGAGCCCCCCTCCTTGTTTGTTCTCTTGCCCCCCTCCCCCGCCCCGCCCTCAGGATCCCTCCCAAGCGTCCGTCCCATCCCCCCACAAGAGACAGAGCCTGGAGGGTGGCTGAGCAGTTCTTTTATTTCAAGCAACAAAGTCTCAGGGTCTCCTGGAAGAGCCGCTGGGCTCCCCTCTTTCATGCTTCCTCCAGGGCGGGAAGGAGGCGCTCCTCAGTCTGCCGGAGGCTGTCCGTGAAGGCCACAAACTTCTCCTTGACTTCCTTCTCCAAGAAGCTCAGGTGATCCTCCACCCCGCTGGCATGGGGCTGCAACCTCTCGCCCAGTTTCTGCATCTTTTCCACCACCAGCTGGTTGAAGCTGTCCCCGTAGGACCCCGCTTGCTGACGGAACTCCTCAATCTGCTGCCCAACGTCCCTCTTCAGGCTGTCCAGGTGGGACACCAGGTCTCCCTGCAGAAGCGTGTCGAGCCGTCCCCGCAACTGCTCAGCTTCTCCCTGGAGCTTGTCCCGGAAGGCCTCCGCGCTCTTTTCCACCTGGAAGGAGAGCTCTTCCAGCTGCCGCCTCAGCTGCTCTGGCGTGGTCTGGGCATAGGGGGACAGGCGCTTGTACAGCTCCTCCACCGCCTGGTCCGCCTTGGCCTTCAGCTCTGCAGGGAAAGGGCCCAGCTGCACCTTGATGTCTGCCACCTGCTGGTTGACGGTCTCCTGAAGCCTCTGGATGTAGGGGGAGAGGGTGGCTGGGTCACCCACGTTTTCCTTCACCTGGGCCTGCAGCTCTTGCAATGAATATGCCAGTTTCTGGGAGATTTGGGTGGCCACGTGGTCTGTCGTGGCTCGCAGCTGCTCAGTGTAGGGTGTCAGCTGGGCTTTCAGGTTCTCGGCAGCCGTGGTCACCTGGTTCTGGACATCCACTGCGAAGGGAGTAATATCCGCCTGCAGCTGCTCCAGCTCTATCTTGAATTTCTCATTTAACTTTTCCACTTCTTCGCTTATCTGGGTGATATACAGGATCAACTTTTTCTGCATTTCCTCGGTGTAGGGATTGATGGTCTGGAGGTGGTCCTGGATCTGGTCCCTGGGAGGAAAGGGGAGGGAAGTCACGGCTGGTCCCTTTTTGCCTGATTATTTCCTACTGGAGCTACACCTGCACAGGTGAATGCAGGAGAACCTACTGCCTGCTTTGAAAGAGTTTTAAGCCTCGGCTTTCTGGGCAACTCACCTGAACTGGCTGATGTCCAACTGCTGGGCCTGTCTCAGGGTCTCCTTGGCATTGTTGCTCAGCTGAGTGAAGTACTGCCCGATCAAGTCAGTCAGCTGTTGGGGAGAGGGGCTGTCTTGGGCCCCTGCAGGGATGAGGAGAGAAAGGTCAGTCCTGAAGGCCACCTCTCTGGGTCACCCAGGCCTATTCAAGGGACTAGAGACCCTCGTCTGGACTCTTGCGTCCCCCTTTCCAGCCACCTCCATCAAAGGGGCTACTGCTGGTGGTAGTTTAGTATCCCCAGTGCCCACACCCAAGCCACACTTCTTCTCATCTTCTCTGAAACGCAACACCCCCGACCCCGGGCTCCGTTTACAGATCTGAGCCACGCAGCATCTCTGGGTGTCTTTAACCCAACCTTTCTCTACCTTCTGGAGGCAGCCAATTAGCAGAAACACCCCAGCCAGAGAAAGCCCGAGGAAGGACAGAGGAACTAAGGCTGTTTGCCAATTAAAAGATGGAGATAATGAGATACTGATACCTGTGGTGGCAATCAAGAGTCCGAGGAGGAAAGCGGCTGCCTTCGGAGACATGGTGGGTGGCAGGAAACGGCACACAGAGTCCTGTCAGGAACAGACCTGTGGAGAAGAGGCAGAGGTGAGCCCTCCTCATGGCAGCCCTTTATCCCAGGTCCGTGCTCTGCATTGGCTCCAGTCCTGCAGCATCACCTCAACAAGGAGTTTGGGCTCCCCCAGGTGGAGGTAAGGAGAGCCAGGAGCTTCCCCCAAGGGGAGAACCAGAGTCAATGCCAGGGGTGCCTCTCAAGCTGGAGTGAGGGGCGGACAAAGGCAACGCCAGCCTTGCCCAGCCCACCTCTTGCCCGACAAAGCACCCAGGGCTGCCCTCTTCCATCAAGAAGCCCAAGCACGCAGCTTGCCTGGCCCCCTCGGCCTCCAGAGGGACCGGAGAGCAGATCCCCATTTGCAGCCAGGGCTCACCTTCTCCAGAGGCTTCTTCTGCTCTGCAGCTCTGCCTTGGCAGCCGCTCTGTATTTATATTCCTGGGGACGGCATCTTCTTGCATCCACGTAGGCTGGTGACACCTCCTTGAGCTCTTGGACTTTAGCAGGAATGTGACGTGGAGGCCTGCATGGCCACAAGATTGCCAGTTATCTGCAGCTCCACAGCAGAATCCTTGCACGGTCCCCAGCCTCTGCCAGCAGGGAGAAGCCAGCACAACCTGGGCAGGTCTAAGGTTGGGAGAGCAGAAGCAAGATTCTTGCAGTGATAATAAATGTAATGATACAATAATGATAAATGAAGTGGTCAGGAATGGGAGCAGCCTAGTAGGGGAGGAGGTTGTCCAAGGGGATTCTCCCCTGAAACCCTTCCAGACCTGGAGGCCTTTCTGCATTGGGGGGGGGGCAGGCCAGGACCCACGTTCTTCAATGGGAACGATTGGAGCCATTTCCACACACCCCTCTGCCCCCCACTATGAGCTTAGCCACAAAGGTGGTGGGGCTGTCCCGAGCCCCCTGCGGTCCCTGTGGAAAAACACATCAGACACCCAGCCAGCTGAGGGGCCCGGGGGCCCTGGGCAAGGTCTACTGGGCTGGCTTTGCTTACACTCGACATGGAGCTCAAGAGTCATCCCAGAATGTCATCCTGCCTGCTCTCAAGACTTCCAAGACTACAAAATGCCAAAGCACCCTCCCCACAGCCAAACCCATGGACGTCTGGGGCACAGACCCCTCGCATTCTGGACATAAATTGTTTCAACTTCTACCCTCAAAAAGATGCTATAGGGCACTGCACACCAAGACAACTAGACACAAGGACAGTTTTTTCCCGAATGCCATCACTCTGCATGACAACTAATTCCCACAACACTGTCAAATAATTTACTAAGACTGTATAACTATTATTATTCTCTCCCTTACTAGTATCTATCTCTTCCCACTTATGACTATAGCCATGTTTCTTGTATCTTTGAATTATATTGTTTTTACTTATTTCCTAGTACGATTTGATAGCTTATTAGTAACCTTGACTATCACTAAATGTTGTATCTTTTTATTCTTGATGAATGTATTTTATTCTCCTAATGTACACTGAGAGCAGTGTACTCTCTAAGACACTAAGACAAATTCCTTGTGTCCAATCACACTTGGCCAATAAAGAATCTTGTTCTGTTCTGTTCTGTTCTGTTCTATTCTAGTGGCCCCCCCACCCCTTTGCCCTGTCACCTTCCGTGGGAGAGGAAAAGAGCAGAATCCAGAGAACCACAAATTTATTGGGGGGCTCTGGCCAGCAGGTGACCGGAGGAGGGGAGAGCCCAGAGGTGGAGGAATTCCAAGGTCCCCTCCCTGCCAAGAGGCCCCAAAGGCTTCCTCCCTCCAGAGGCAGGGAGGTCCAGGGAGGCCTCCGGAGGGAGCAGCCTCCACCCAGAGAGGCCAAAGGGACCCTTGCAGGCCCAACGTCTGGGACATTGGATGGCTTTGTGTCTGACGGGAGCCATTTGGGGTCCCGCACACAAATACAAAGTGGGATCCGCATCTTGTGCCAGTTGCGTTGCTTCCCTTTTCAGATTTGGTGCCCTTCGGTTTCATCATATGACTGTTTACACAACACACAGAACTATCATCCAACCGGCCCTGGCACGCTCCACTTGGCTCGTGTGGTTCATGACGTAGTTTGTGGGTTAGAACAGATTAGACGCCATCTTTCAAAGTAGGCTTTTCTCAGGTGTGAATAGCCCAAAAATCAGGGCTGGGCACACTCGGGGTCTGCCCTGCGAAGCTGGTCGGAGCTCTAGGGCAACACGGCTGGAATTTGACCAGAGCCAAAGGGGTGCAAAGCTTAGCCCAGCTTCCAGCAGATGTTTTGGACATCAGCTCTTCCTATCAGCCCCCCCCACACACACACACCTCTCCTCCCTCCCCCCCTCACCCCCCCAGCTATTGTGGCAAGGAATTGTGTCTGCAGATCACAACCCTTCTCTCTGGCAGAGGGGAGAAGGCCCTTCCCTTCTGGCTTACAAAATACAATACAATCCGAGGAGGAGGAGGAGAATCTAAGTGGGTGGAGGCTTCCTCCAGAGACAATGTCCTTCATGGTGCCTATGCAACCAACGTTAGGGTTAGGGTTGCCCACCCCATTTTCAGTAGGTTAAAAGCTTCGCTCTGCAATCCTGCCAGCCAAATGGCGCTGCTGATGGAACATGGGAGAGCCCTGGGTGGGCAAATAATCACTTGACTCTCCAGGTCCAGGCCGGGATGAAGGCAGAAGAGCCCACGCAGGCACTGAAATGCTTCCAAGACCCTCCCAGATGCCTCCTCCCACCAGTTACCGTCTGGCTTTGCCGAGATGGCGGTCTCTCTTTGCCAGCTTCCAGCCAGGCTCACCATGCCAGGCCCACAACCATGATGCCAACAGCAGTTCCAAAAGCAGGGAGCCTCCCCCACCCACCCACTTGGACCCTCCGTCTCTCAGCCACACTACTCTTCTGCAGTTCGAGTTTTGGCTACCCTGGGGAAGGCAATGGCCAAAGTCTGGCCATGCTGGCACCTGGGCCCAAGAGAATCAGTATCGCATTTGTCTGACAAAGCAGACCAACAGGTCTCTCGCGTGAGTGCTTCTTGAAACAGAGATCGCGTCTAGAGATCGTGTCTAGGGACTGAAGGTGCCCCTCTGCTCTTGCCTCTGAGCATGTGCAAGGTGCTTCCCCCCATCCCTTGAATGAAACAGGCAGCACAGAGATTCATGCTGTGTGGATTTGAAGGCTTCTCCTGGGGTAGAAATAAACTAGCTTGTTTAACTGACCCCTGGCTGAGCTGGCTGTCTTATCTGGGGGTCACAGTCCAAGGCGAGGCAGGGCTGTTGTGCAGGATGAAGGGGCCAACAACACCCTGCAGGGTTCAAAGGTGATCCCGTTGGTGCTGAGAAGCCACAGGTTGCCGGAGTGTGCTGGATTGTGTGGGAGCCCCAAAGAGCCTGTGGAAAGAAACAGTCTCCAACACGACCTCGGCCAGGAGCCAGGGCTGCCCTCGCCACGAAAGACCCGAGGCCAGAAAAAGAGGAAAAAGCTGGACCCTCTGGCTTGCTTTGGGAAGCCATCCCAGGCAGAGTCCCTGACTTTGCACTGACCCCCCCCCTCACTCTGGACCAAGCCCCCCGCCCCCCCCCAAGGTGACAGTCTCCCCAGAGGACTATGCTAGCCGGATGGGTTTGGATTCCTTGTTTTTGTACCCTGATTTCCAAAGTCTCCCCAAAAGAAGAGCTGGCACAGAAACAGGCCAGCTTGGTCCCAGCAAGCACAGTGAAGTCCCAGCTACCCAATTTAAGGCCTTTTGGGGGAGGGGCAGATTTACACACACACACACACACACACAGGCACACTTCCCAAGAGACTTGGGACCCTCTCCAGGGACTGCCAACTGACTGTGAAGCCCCAAATCAGGAGATGGTAGAAGAGATGGTCGGCTAAGTGGTGTCTAAGTTGTGAGATGCTCCACACTCAGACACCAGAACCTCCCCTGGCATCCCTTGGGAAGGAGACCCCCAGAAAATCAGCAGCAGCCCCGGGAGGAACAGGAAAGAGCTTCGCGGGCGTGGGAAGGGCTCCCTCGGCCAGTGGGTCTGTATTTCTTTCACAGCGGCCGTCATTGGTGTTACATTTCCCTGGCCAGTCCAGCTGGGTTTCCATGCCCAGCAAAGAGGAGAAGGTGGCACGGAGCGAGGCCCGCCATGCCCACCCCGGGGCCAGGCCAGGGCTCTGAGAGGCGCTGCTCGGGGAGGGCCCTGCCGGACCGGCGGCCGAATTTCCCAACCCCAGCAGAGGCGACCGCAGGGCAAGCCCAGCAAATGGGGGCCGGCGGGACGGAAGCCCCCCTGCCCTGGCCCGGCCCCTCCCCAAAGCCCCCCCGCCGGAACTTTGACCGCGCAGCCCCCGGGGGGTGTAGCCGGGGGGCGGAGGGGTATAAAGGGGGAGCGGCAGCCGCCCCTTCGGCAGTCCGGACAGCTCCTCGGGAAGCCCAGCCAGAAGGTGAGAACTGGCGGCAGGCAGCCCTGCGCTCTCCGCAGGCGGGTCTCGCGGGGCAGGCAGGCGGCGGGCCGAGGAGAACCGCCGTCGCTTCTCCCTCGGGGGGTCTGTGCCCGTCTCTCGCTCTCTCAGCCTACCTCGCAGGGCTGCTGTTTCGAGTTGAAAGGGCAAACTACACTTTCAGCTCCTGGAGAAAAGGTGGGAGAGGAGCCTCACCCACCCATTGTGGCAACGCCGGTGCCAGCAAGGGGCTTCTGGGCGTGTGCAGAAGGCTTTCCGACTGTCCTGGGGGCGGGGCGCTGGGACCCCCGCCTGTCTAAGCCCTGGAGGGAACCGAGCCTGCCCCCCCTCCCGCCGGCCGCGCCCCTCGCTGCCAGCCCCTGACCCTGCCCGGCTTCCTTCCCCTTCTTGCCCCTTCTTTCGAAAGGCGCCCACCCAGGAGCCACCCCGACCCTCCCTTCCACTAAAAGCAGCCCGCTTCCCTTCCAGGCCAGCGACGACCCCTTTTCTCGGCACAGGACCCTCCAGGGGAAGATGAGAATCCCGCTCTTGCTGCTGCTGGCGCTGCTGGCGCTGCTGGCCACCGTTGCACGTAAGAGGGTGCCAAGGGCCAGGGGGCTGAGCTGGGGCCACAGGGTCTCAGAGAGCGGGAGGTGCGCTCTTCTCTTGCCTGGCTCTTTCCCTGCCCCACCCCTCAGGTTTCCCCCCCTTGGTTCCCAGGAGCTGAGGATGACCAGGAGACGCTGAGGACACGTTTCCAGGGCTTCGTCCAGAAGGCGCAGGAGCACATCGCCACTATCCAAGCATCCACCGTTTACCAGCAAGTGAAGTAGGTCTTGGGGTCTCTGGCATTTTGGGGGTGGGGAGGAGAGCCCTTGGGGGCTGCTCCTCCTGTGAGGGATTTGGAGCAAGAGGTGGGAGGGGTTGGGGGGGGCTGCCTGCAGCCTCTGTCCCTCCAGAGTAGCAGAGCATGAACCTGCAGGAGAGCAGAGCTGGCAGCTTCAGAGCCAGTCGTGGATCCCGTTGCTTGTCCGGCTTCCAGAGAATCGGGGCGCCTCTCCAGGCTGCCTCCTAATTGGTCAAGACTGTGACCGGACTCTCGTTTTGCACAAAGCCTTGCTTTGGCTAGCAAGGACAATCGGCTGGCTGAGCGAGTAAATTCTGCTTCTGCACCTTGAATCTTTGCAGCCGCGGAGACGCCCTTTGGGCTCAGTGCGCCTCCAGCTGCGGCCTCCCAGCCCAACAGGGCCTCTCGGGGGAGTGGGGGGGATCTGTTCCCTGAACTCCCTTTCCTCCCCTTCTCACCCCACCTTAACTCTCTCCAGGGAATTGGCAGAGGCTGGCATTGAACGTGCCCGGAACGCGATTGAACAAGTAAAGACTCAAGTTTCAAGCCTGCTGGAGAGAAATCCAGCATGAGTCTGGAGTCCATTCCACACCCAAGAGCCCAATGGAGCAATGGCCATCCTAGCCGTCCTCAGGACCAGGTGCAGCTCTCCCTACTCCTGCTCCTCTGGGGACCCTCAGATCTTCTGCCCCCCCATGCCCTGTTTTCTGGCTCCTCTAGTGTGGAATTTTCCTCATTAAAAGTAGCAGAACGTTGCATGTTTGGCTTTTTTCCTGCGCGCCGAATGGATGGGCATCCGCCACCACCACCCCACTAGTAGGAGCCCTGCTGGGATTTCAGAGGGGCGTGAGGGGCGGTGGGCTTCCACGGCTCCTCCTTGTCCGCAGATAATAGTCACAAGAGCTGAGGTCTGTCCCCTGCTCAGCCCTGCCCGGTGCACATCTTGTGGAGGGGAAAGCAGGGAAGGCCCTGCCTAGGGTCCCTGGGGGCCAATAAGACACAAACCTGGCCTGGGGGTCTTACATGCTGCCGTCAGGCACTTTGGCTATGGCCCAAAAACCTCTCGTGGGTCCTGCCAACCCCAAAATGATTGCATTCTAGAGCACCTGTTTGCTCTTGACATTAGCACCTGAACCCCACTGTGGGGATACACCACCTTCCTGGGGAGACAGACCCTTTGCCCCAACCCCTTCCAAGCCTGAGGAGCCCCCCACCCCAAGCTCTGTTGGACTAAATGTGGGAGGAAGCTTCCTTCCTATCTCCTCCCAGCTGCCAAAGAGACATGGAGGAGCTTTGGATGAGCTGAATCCCAAGTCTCTCACTGCTTAGGTTCCCCCCCCGGCCCCCCATCATGCAAGTGGACACAGAGATCATTTGTATATCATGGTTTTTTTTTTTATTTGGCACAAAAGAAGAAGAAGGGAAAGAAGTCTAGGGAGGGGACATGAGACTGGCAGCCAGATTGGGGTGAGGGTGGGTTCCGGCCTTCTGCTGCCTTACAAAGGAATTGCCAGCCTCCTCAGCCACTAGGATGGGTCACCGGGACCCTTGCGGGGGGGAGAGGCAGGGCTGATTGGGGGGCACCCATGCAGGGCCTCTAGGAGCTCTGCTGCTGCACCTCCTGTTCCGAACCTTCGGCGGGCACAAGCAAGGCCTTGGCGTTCCCCAGCAGCTGTAGCAGCTCCTCCCGGGCCTTTTCCCAGATGGGCCCGTATTTCTCCTGCACTTCGCTTAGTTGCTGCTGCAGCTCGGTCTGCAACTCGGTGAGCTCAGTCCGGGCGCTCTGCTCCAGCGTCTTGGCCTTCTCCTGGATCAGCTGCTCCAGCTTCTGGGCGTAGGGAGCGGCGTCCTTGCGGAACTTGTCCACATGGCTTCGCACCTTGTCCCGGAAATCCTCGGCCACCGGCCTCAGCTTCTCTTGGGCCATCTGGTTGATGTCCTGGGAGATGGTTCTCAGCTGCTGGAAGTAGGCGGCCGCGTCCTGCTGCACGCCCTCCCGAAGCGTACGCAGCAAGGGCTGGATCTGGGTTCCGATCTCCCGCACGTCCCTAGTCAGCTCTTCCTTCAGCTTCTGCCAGGCTGCCTCCAGTTCGCTTCTCACTTCTTGAAGGTCGGGGGCTATCTGCTCCTTGATTTCTCGCAGCACAATTGTTAAGGCTTCCAGCTTCTGCCCTAAGTTCACTCTGCAACAGAGCAAGAGATGAGTCAGAGGCTACAGCTGACAGAGAAGCTGCCCCCACAGCACCCAGAGCATTTTGAAAAACAATGACCAAAAAAATCAAAATACATATTTTGCTGGATGACAGGGTGGGAAGTTGATCTGGCTAGAGAAAATGACATTATAACCAATAAAACATAGAATCCTAGGACCAGAAGGGACCTCAGAGGTCTTCTAGTCCAACCCCCCCACCCCCCGGTCCTATAAGGTAGACATACGCAGCTCCCTCAACTGTTCATACAATTTAGTCTCCAGACCCTTTCGATCTTTGTTGCTCTTCCCTGCACTCTTTCTGGGGCCTCTGCATCTTTTTTTTCTTGTCATGGTGGCCAGAACTGGATGCACAATTCCTAGTCTTATCGGTGTGGTACAAAGCTGTGCTATCACCTCTTGTAATCTTGATGCTGTCCCTCTGTTGATGCCACCAGAACTGCATCGGCCTTTTTGGCAGCTGCAGCACATGGCTGGCTCAGACTTCTAGGGGTCCACTAGGATGAAGTCACCTACCTATCATTTTTTCCCACCTCTAGATTCTCCCCAGGGTACAACAGAATAAAACCAACAACTCCTAACAAAAACACCAAAGATTAAAAAATATTTTAATTTTTTTAAAAAAATCACATTGTTTTAGTGAAATGCCCATGCCTCAGATGATGAAAGAGGAAAGGCAATGTGTTAGTGATTGCTAAGAAATGAACATTCGTTGCTTTTTAAAGGTTCTTACAGGAGGGGAGCAGAGCTGAAAATATATTGTCTGGCGAATTAGTTTCATTTTAAAATCACGAGAGGTTTATTTCTCATTTCAATTTTTTTTAAAAAAATATGTTGAGCCACTGATTTTCCATAGAAAGATGAATTGATCTTTGGCTGCCGTTCAAGCAGAGCCGGGGGCACACCTTGTACTTCACCTGCGTTTCAGTTTATACATCGTATTTGGAAGGTGAGTCAAATTCAAAGCATATACAAACCACCTCTGAAAAATCTATTGATTTGGAGTACTAATCCTTGTTCGGTCCAAGCATTGCAACAAACTCATTCCTGGTGTGATCCAGGACCAGCGGCAACCGGCTCTCTTGCAGTAGCAAAAACATTAAAGCCGCATTTAAAGAGGAGCCCAGGAGATGCCCCCAGCCTCCCTCAGGTTGCCTTAATCACTCAAGGACCCTGGGGGAGGGGGGGCATGAAACTGCCCAAGAGGCCTGCCCCCCCACCTCCCACAGGGAGGGGGCACAGAGGGGGCCATCTTCACCTTGGCATGGCTGTTCTAAGCCTCCTTTTTGCCCGGGGTATGGACAGCTCCCGGCCACCTGCAGGGCCTCCAACAACAGGGTCACACTCCGTCCCTGAGCCCGTCCACCCACCCTCTCACCCTGCCTGCCTGCCTGCTGGAATGGCTCATGGGCAACCTGAACACAGAGCCCAAGGGGGCTTGTGCTTCTCCCTCCAGTCTCTCTCCAACAGGTGCCCCCTCTGAAATTGTCTTTTCTTTTCCTTCTTCAGTTCCTTTGGGGTTTGTTACTCCTTGCTTCTCCATTCGAGTTTTCTATTCAAGAGGCCTTTTTATCTTCCAAAATGAAAAATTGCCAGCCAGGACTTCGTCCATCACCAGGGCCCAGGTACCCTCCTCCCCCTCCCCTGGGAACCAGTCTGGCTGGCTCTGGCTCTTCTGCCCTCCACCCCCAGGGTAGCACCTTGGACCCTCCCCCACCAGCAGCCTCCTCCTGCCCTGCCTGTCTGCCAATCAGCCCACTTGATACATGGTGGGGGGGAGGGAGGCTCGCAGCCCTCCAGAGCAGCCGCATCTGCCTCCTCCCAGAAAATCCCACAGCTGCCCCCCCCCCCCCCCCTGCCCCCACCCCCACCCCCACCCCAAGGTGTGAGGCATTACTCACTGCAGCTCCTGGGCCATGGCAGAGGAGTCGAACTGGACCACGGCTTGCTGGATTGCTGACTTGGCTGAGTCCAGGTACACCTGGCCCAGCTCCTGCAGGTGTTCCAGGCGGGTCTGCTGGGGATCGTCATGCTGCCAGAAGTAGCGGGCCTGGGCTCCTGCAGGGCAAGGCGGAGGGGGCTCAGCACAGGCGGAGGACTCTCCCTTTGCGGCTACCCGAAGGCAGCCCTTGCTACACCTCCGCCTGGAGCCCCCAGCGGGAGCAACTGCTCTCCTGCCCACTATCGGCCAGGCAGCCTCGTCTCCCACACCCAGCCCATCTGCCCAGAGACTCACCTGTAAGGAGCAGGAGGGCCAGGACAAGATTGAGGTTCTGCATCCTGAACTACGTTCGACCCTGAGAGTGAGAAAAGCCGTTGGGAAAGAGAAGCCCCCCCCCGCCTCTGCCCAGACCCACAGGTCCATCTCCCGGCATGGGCAGTGGCCCAAAGGAAATTGGGCTGAGTTGGAGGGGTGCAGGGTGGCTTTTAATGCCCAAACACCATCTCAGCTGAGGATCCGGCCCCTGCCAGAGGGTCAGCCTGGCCACCTTCTGCCCTGGCCATCCCCAAGAGACCCTGAGCAGTGCCCCAGCCCCTGCTGCTCATCCCCACACCAAGTCTTCCCTGCCACCCTCTTGCTGGCGAAGGAATTGGGCGGATGGGTCAGCAAAGAGAGCCGCCGGACGAAGCCAAGCCCAGCAGGTGCCCGCATCTTACCAGCCACTCGGGTGTCTGCCGTGGTCTTTGCTGCATGGAGTCGGTGGAGGCTTTTTATACCGGCCAGGTTGTTTATTGCTGGAGATAAGCAGTAGCTATAAACAGGGAATTCACTCCTGAGCTATGACTATGTGGCGCTTAAGAGTTCAAGGATCAAACACATCCCCAGGCAGGAGAAGCAGGGACAAGAGAACTCGCTGGGATCAAGCCAAGAGCCGGGCTGGGCTTGGGGCCAGGGGGCGTACCCAGCTGGCCAACGGACCCCGAGCAGGCACTCATCGGCCAGGAGCAGCAGCAGTCAACAGAGGGCCCTGGGGCTCTTGGGGGAGGCTTAGTGGCCGGCAGGGCCCTCCAGCCACGGGATGCTTTCACTCCCCAGGCAAACTGACGGGAGGTCGGGTTCACCCCAAGACCAACAGGCCAAGCCAGCTTTCCTCCCCCTACCAAGGCCAGGCCCCCCAAGCAGCAGAGCAGTGGCCCACCTGAGCAGACTCCCAGGTGCAAGCAGCAGAGAGGAATGGGGCACCAGTGTCAGCGGAGAGGGGCAGACCGGCAAATCAATACCCCTCTGGCAGAGAACACGCACTCCAAATGTTCTGGATGGAAGGTGGGCTTTGCGGAGACCCCCTTCCCCCGGAAAGGACTCATCTGGGGCCTGTGCAACCCCTTTTATGGACACGAGAGCATGAGCTGGTTTGAGTTTCCAACCAGGCCTAACAAATGGTTCAGGATCCGCTGAGTTGGGCTGCATGAGAAGGCAGCAAAGGCCTGCACTCTTGTGGTTCTCCCTCAGACTTGCTTCTCCCATTGAAGCCACTCCTGGAGGTGCCAAAATCCAGCCCTGAGCCCTGCTTGGCATGTGGATGATGAAATCAAATACCCAGGACAATCACCAGCCCAGCCTGAAGGAAGCTGTCCGCACGGCTGCTGTCCTACCACCCCTGGGATGGAGGTGGGGGGGGGGGCTCCTTTCTTTAATTCATGCAGCTGGGCCAAGCCACCTGGGTGGGGGGCTTTGCTTTTCTCAACAGTCAACACTTGTCAGGGTTGAGTGCATGTCCCACCCAAGTGCTCCCACAGCCAGATTTTCAGAGAAGCCCCTGGGGGCACCAGACCGGCTCCCCTGCTCTTCTCCTAGCCTGCAACCAATCACCAGACTGGGGGCACAAGGATGGAGGTGGGACACCCACCCTTCTGCTGCAACCAGCAAAATCGGAGGGAGCTGCTCCGAATTCTGGGCCAAGACACCCCCCGCCTGGGCCGCTGGATGAAATGGTGCCAAGTTCCTTTTCGCCAAGATGAGCTGCTACCCTGAGCAAGCGGAAGGCTGGCCCAGAACACCCAGAGGAGCCTCAGAGGCCCACTTGGGACCATCTCCCCTGGAAAGGGGGCCCTACGGTGAAGGAGCTGCCCAGCGAGGAGGACAGGAGAGCAGGCCTGGCCGTGGGCACACCTCGGGCCAAAGCTTTGGAGCTGGCAAAGGCTCCCAGTTCCGTGTCAGGAGAGAGAGGAATGGCAGAAGCGTGGGCCCCCCTCACTCGAGGGCTGCTCTGGCCGGCCATTTCCCAGAGTTCGGACGGAGGCTTCTTGGCGCTGACCTAGCCATGAGGAGGAGCTTCAGGTCAGGTCAGCAGCCAAACCCTGAAGGCTCCGAGTGAGTCCAGCTTTCCATCTAACTAAGGGAGGCCGGTTGGGGCGCTGGTGTTTGCCAAAACCGTCAGAGCCACAGAGGGGGGCTGCTGCTGCCGCCGCCCTCAAGGCAAAAAGGGCCCAAGTCACCTTGGGGGAGGCAATCCCTCAGAGCAGCTCCTGGGAGACCCCTCGTTTCTCCCTGCAAGAGGCTTGTTTTGGGGCTCTTGGGCAAAGGAGCCCCTGCAGGGCGTGGTCAAAGTCAAAGGGGCGGAGCTTCACCTGCAGCATTGCAGCCATCCTCTTGGCTCTTTTCACCGCCCGATGGATGCCCTGAACCCACCCACCCAGGTAGGGGGGGGGCGGCTGGGCTGGGCTGGGCAGCAGCTTCTCCAACAGCAGCAAGAGAGGAGCGAGACCAGAACTGAGAGCCAATCAGAATCGAGGGTTTATTTGAACAACTAGTTGCAAACAGCCCACCCACCCAAAACTGAACTAAGAATTTACTGAAAACCTGGGGGACCTCTCTGTGTGTGTGTGTGTGTGTGTGTGTGTGTGTGTGTGTGTGTAGGCTCTTGTTTTAGTCCAACATAAATGAGAAAAATACTCTGGACATTTCCCCAAAACAGAAATTATAGCAAAGTATGTTATACATTCAACATATACTGTAAGTACTGATTATACAATACAAAGCAACAATTAAAAAAATCCCAAAACTGAAAACAAACAAAAATGTGATACTGCAAAACAGCCCAGCCCGGCATGCCCCACCCCCCAGCCTGTTGGAATAGGGCTGGGGGGGGGAGGGGGGGTGCTGCTGTCACCTCCCAGGTAATGTAAACAGGAGGGCAAACAAGCCGGAGTCCAGAGCTGGTGGAGGGGGGGGGGGGGGGCCACCTTCGGTTCCCCCCTCCTCCTAGAAACGGGAGCTCCAGTTCTGATCCGGCCCAGAGGAGGAGACCAGGTGCTCCCGAAGGGGAGGGGGCTCAGCCAAAGAATCAGCCCTCCAAGGGACCCTGAGCTTCCGTGCCGATCCGGAGAGCTGCAGGGAGGCTGCCCTTTAAAAAAAACTCTTCCAAAGAGTCAGTAACAGGAATTCGGGGGGAAGCTTCCGTAGGTCCCCAAAGGCAGAGAGACGATGCCAAGCCCTCTGAGGCACACAAAGGCCTCTTCGCCCAGTCAGTGCCTGAAAAGGAGGGCTCCTCCGGAGGGCAGGGCAGGCCGGAGCAGAGATGCCAGGCCCGGGGAAGAGCCGAGAGAGGGGGAGGGAGCAGGGGTTAAGCAGCACGGCCTGGGGCAGGAAGGCATTCTGAATTAATTTATTAATATTAATAATAATAATAATAATAATAATACCAAAAAATTTACTGAAACAAATTCCTACATGATCTGGAGGGAAACAAGTTAAAAAACAAGAACCAAACTTTCTCAGAATTAAACTAAAAAAGGAAAGATAGCACATGATATGAATGAAAAAGAGGTACAAAAAGAGAAAAAAAGGTTGTTTGAGCACAATGACAAAATCCAAACACAGAAAAGTCAATAAATGAGACACAAAAGCAATATTGCACCGCGGCCAGAAGAGGACCGGGGGGGGTGGGGGGGGGGGAAGAGAGAGCCTGAATCCAGAGGGGGTGGGGGGTGGGGGGCTGTCGAGCAACAGAAGGCAGGCAGGCAGGCAGGCATGAAGACGGCCCCAGCCCAGCCCCTCGGCCCCTGGAAAGGCCCGTCCCAAAGTCTGCTTATTGCTGGCTCCAGCGAGGCCAGGGAGGCGCCTGCTACCCTTGGGGTTGTGGTCAGTCCATCTCTGCAGCCCCCAGAGGGGCGGTTGGCGCTTCCGGAACAGCTGGCATCACAGGCAAATATGGCAATAACGAACATCCGAAAGGGACAAGCACGCTCTTGGACCAACGAGGAGGAGGAGGAGGAGGAGGAGGAAGAGTCACCACCGCCATGAGGTTTCCTTCCCAGAGAAATGCGATGGCTGTTTGGTGCAAGGCTGCAAGATACTGTCGGTTTGAAATGGACCTTTTCGCTTCGGAGCGGTACCCAGCCCTGCCAAGACAACGCCAGGAAGGGAAGTGTGAGCAGCTGGGCCGGAGTGGCAAACCCGCTGCCCTTAAAGACACAACCCCAGGCCCTCCAGCCCCCCCCCCCCGCCCCAGGCCCTGCGGCACCTCCCGCCTCCCTTGGGTCTGCTGGCTGCTGAGCCAGGAAGCCCCAAGGGGGTCCGGGATGCCCCAGGCCCCGATTCAAACGTGCGCTTGGCCCCCCGGCCCACCCTCCCCTGGGCTGCTGCTCCCTCAACAAGGGCCAGCCAGGCCTCCCCTCCCTCCCCCAAAGAGCCCCCCCCCCGTTAGAGGAGCCAAGTGGGGCGCAGACTCACGGCTGCCATCGGCTTGCTAGACCCCCGCTTGCTCCACCCCGAAGGGAAGCTCCGGGTGCCTGTAGCTCAGCAGGACGTCAGTGACACAGGTGGAGGGGTAGCAAGAGGCGTTGAGATGCTGGCTGCCCTCACCCAAGCCGGGCTGCTCCTGGCCTTCCAGCTGTTCCCCACCATCTGGGGGGGGGAGAGGAAAGTGAACCCCCCCCTCCTGGCTGACGGGCTCAGCTGCCATCCAGCCAGTCCAAGGCCGAGGGAGGGCTGCCCTCCTGGGGCCACAAGCTGGAGAAGCCCCCCCCCAAGGTCCTCCCCAGCACTGTGTCTCTGGCACTCACCCCTCCTCTCTCCCTCGGGGAGGGCCTGGCTGCCCACCAGGGAGCTCTGGCTGAGAACAGCATCGGCCATCCGGGCAGAACTAAGTGCTTTCCCTGCCATGAGGCTCATGCCCAGCAAAGGGTCCAGTTGCACCTGCAGGAGCCGGGAGGGGGGGGAGGAGGATAAGAGAGGGGAACCCAGCCCCACCCACAGCACAAGGAAGGGGCTCAGGCATTGCCCCAGCCAGGCCCTCCTGCCCCCAACGCACATAGGCATCGTCACTGTTCTGGATGGTGTGGTGTCTCTGCAGGGGCCGGGATCTGGGGTGCGCGGCAGGAATCATTCTCACTGGGTAGGCCGTGAGCCCCTCCGCATCGGCCATCTCCATGTGCCCGGGCGAGGTCCTCTCCTGGCCACCGGTGACCATGGGGTCTGGAGGGGCGAGGCAAAAGAGGTCAGGAGCCCAGGACAGTCTCCCAGCCAGCCTGGTCTTCTGCCCCCGGAGCTCAACCGGGGGACAGGAAGGGCCGTCTCCTGATCCGGACCCTTCTGGGTCGCCAGGGGGATCCAAATCAGGGGTCCTGGCCGCTTAAGGTCAGCAAAGGCCATGGCAGTCAAGGAGAGCGTTTCCCGGTGGCCGTCTGGGCTCTGCCGCTTCTCCTTCCGCTTCTGGCCACTGTCGGGTCATCTTCCCTTCATCCCAAATCACTCCGCCCCCCCCAGCCCCCCCATCACCAGCAGCCAGGCCCCCTGCTTGCCAGAACACCTTGCCAAAGCCCCGCTCCGGCCTCCCACTCCCCCGGCCAGACTGAGCTCCACATAACTGTGGCGGCTCCTACAACGCCCCCTCCCCTTACCTGCCGCTCTTCCAGGGCTCCCAATCCAGCTCCCCTGCCCCCTCCCCCACCCGGCAGTGCTGGGATGCCATGCCCCGAGAAGCCCTGCCCTCCTCCTGAAGGAAAAGCCGGGGCCGCAGAAACGCCAACCCCGCCCCAGGGGAGGAGGGGGCCACCTTCCCCCTCAGCTGAGCCAGAGGGCCTTTCTGTCCACAAGGGCACCCCTGGAGAGGGGCTCTAGCCTGCCCTGGCGGATGGGAGACGGCCTTACCTGGGCAGGGCACTTCGCTCCGACAGAAGGGAGAGACGGCCTGGGGCCGATACAGGTGTGCTCCCAGCTCTGGCTCACCCTTGGCAGGCCCAAACAAAGAGTCCGAGTCCCCAGGCCCCCCGACGCTTAAGAGGAGCCGCGTCTCGGGGCAGCCTTTGGTCTTGTGGCCTGGGAAAGGGTCCCTGGGCCCCTCGCACAAGCAGTCCGCCGCTTCCTCCTCCTCCTCCATGCTCTCCGAGTGCAGCAGGGCCGAAGGCGGGGCGTATCCGCGGGCCGCCCCCGAGACGTGCGAGAGGCAGTCCTGTCCCCTGACTTTCAAGAGGGGCTGGGGGCTGGCGTGGGGGTGGTAGAGGTCAGTGTTTTGGTAAGGCAAAACCAGGGGAGGCCGGTCAGAGAGTTTCTGGGCCATGCTGGGGAGCCCCTGTCCCGCCTCCCCTTGGCTCATCTGCCGGAACAGCTCCTGGAAGTCCTGTTGCTGCTGCTGCTGCTGCCGTCGCTTGATCAGCTGGGCCACCTCCGCCTGGGGCAGCCGCAGGTCCGGGTGGCCGGCCAGCGAGTGGCGGGGAGAGAGCAGCCCCTGCAGGATGGGGGGCACTTGCTGGCGCCGGCTGTAGTCTGGCGGGGTCGGGGACAGCAAGGCCTGGTGCAGGGCGGAGGCCGCGTAGTGCTGCTGCTGGCTGCTCTGGGGGAAGCCCGGGAACTGCTCCAGGAGTGGCACCTTCAGGGCTGGGGCCGGAGGAAAGCCAGCGGGGGCCGCGGGGCCGAAGCTGCTCGGAGAGACGCGGGACGGCTCAGGGAACAGCTGGGGGTGGAGGTGTGCCTGGGTGTAGCCTGTGGTGGATGGGTACCTGCCAAGAGGGAGGGAGGAGGGAGCCCCCAGAGGGGCCAGGTCAGAGGGGGCCGCCTGGATCGTTGCCCGGGCCAAGCAGCTGGGGGATGCCCATTCTGCTCGTAGCCTGCAGGGCCCAGCCAGGAGTGCTGGCCCTCGTCGCCTTCAGCCAGCTGGCAGGGCCATACCTGTGGGAGGACTCGGCGCTGTCTGCGCTGAGCTGCTTAGACAGGGGCCGGTGTCCGTAGGTCAGGGAGGCCATCAGACTGGCACGATGGTGCATCTGCAGCGGACTGGCACTGGGGGGCATGGGCAAGCCCCGCCCGCCCTGCAGAAGGCTGCTGCCCTGCATGAGGTCGCCAGGCTCCTGCATCGGGAGAGGGACGGGCTGCCCCGGCTGCTGCATGCCCAGGCAGGGCAAGGCCAGGTTAGGGGGCGGGGAGCGGTTCCCAGGCTGCTGGAAGATGTTGCCGTGTGGAGGCGGAGGCGATGGCGTCCCGCCCTGGAACGGGGTCTGGGAGGCTGCACCTGCAAAGAGCAGAGCCCTCCTGACGAGCGAGTCCCGACCCCCTCCTCCCCAACCACTGCTGGCACTGCCTGGGCACCAGAGAGGCCTCGTGGAGCAAGCCCGAATTCTGCCCGGCAGCCGACACCTACTGTGGGTCTGGAGCAGGCTGCTGCTAACGGGCGGGGGGCTGCTGTCCGTCTGCTTGAAGAGATGATTGCTGGGGTGGCTCGGGGGTGGGCTGGAGGGCTGGATCTGTAATCTAGGTGCACAAAGAAAAAAAACCAGAAGGATCCCCTGGGTGAGTCGGTCCCTCCCTCCCTCCCTCCCTCTCGCTGGCCAGCTCTGGACCTTCCCTACCCCAGCGGGGCCCCAAGCAGTACGCCTGAACCTCAGAGCAGAAGCCGTGCCCTGCTGGGACTGAACCCCTCTAGTCCAGCAGCTCTTCTGCCAAGGGCACAAGGAAGCCCAGCAGCTCCCCCAGGCCAAGAGCCGCCCATCCCCAGGACTTCCAAGAAGGGTCCAACCTGATGGCCAGCACCAAATCTTTTGGTACCAAATTCTAATGTTTAAGTAATAAATTCAAGCCCAGAAAATGAAAGGCAAAACCCAAACCCAGGCAAGCATTATGAAACAGAGAGAGCAAAGCTAGGGAACGAGGCCTTCCCCACAGAAGGGCCCGTGTTCCCAGGGAAGGAGCGCTGGCGTTCTTTACACCTGTATTTAATTCTCTCTCACAATCGGGGCCTGGAAGCTCCCAGGGTTTCCCCTTGTCCTCCTCCTCCTCCTCTTCCTCTCCCAAGCTCAGCTTTATTCAGCCAAGGGCGATTAGCCTGTTGTCATTTTATTGCTGTGCTCAGCAACTTCTCTGCCTGGTTCCTGCAGTCTTTTCCCACCGAAAGGGAGCAGGGCCACAGCTCCCCCTGAGGTTCCTGTCAGCCGAGAGATTTCAGCCAGGACTTCCGTCCTGCTTCCTCCTTCCCTGCCCTGAGATCAAAGGAGCCTCACTGCGGCTGCCCCAGAAGGCCCCCCGTTTCCCTGTGGGAGGTGTGGGGAGAAGGAGGCTTGGCTTACCTCTGGAGCTGGTGAGTGAGCAGAGCTGGCTGGTTTTCGCTCGCTGCTTGCAAGGGGGGGGAAGGCTGTGGCGGACGGATGCAGTCCTGTGCAGGGAGCAGAAGAGGAAGGACAGAGAGGAATGCGGTGAAGGGGGGTTCAGCAATGGGCGAAAGGAGAGGCGCCCCTGCATCACAGCTGCCCTGGGATTCAGCAGTCGGCCCGGATACCTGCAGGGCAGCCAACTCTGCAGAAGGTCTGCCCCCCTCCCCCTTCTCCTATGCCCCCCCCCACCTGGATCTGCTGATGAAGGATCTGGTGGTGCTGCTCCTGCTGGTACAAGAAGTGCTGCTGCTGCGTCTTCTCCAGAGTCCTCTCGTCCATGTGGCCCCCGTACATCTTCTGGAGCTGCTCACACTCCTGAAATAAGCCCTGCTGAGACTCAGCCCTGCGCAGAGCCAGAGAGGAGGGGCGGCAGCAGGCCTGGCCTCGGGGAAGGGCAGCTGGGGTTACCCACCAGCACTGCCCAGGACGGCAGCCCAGAGGCAGCTCCCTCTTCAAAAGAAGCCGCCCGCCGCTCGCCCGGCTCTCCTGCAGAGGAAGGCCTGAGGAGCCTCTTGGGCATCCCTGTCACACTCCCTCCCTCCCACCCTTCCCCGCAAGCACCCTTGGAGCTGCCAGCCAGAGTGGGGAGTCCACTGAAGCTTCCGGCAGCTTCCGTGGCAGAGGGCAGCCAGAGGGGTCCAGCAGCCGCCGCTGCCTGGCCAGCAATAGCCCTGCGCACCAGGGACCCTGAACCGAACACTGGCAACTCTTCAGGGAAGAAGAAGGGAGTTCCTCCGGGCACTGCAAAAGGTTCTGGGCCCAACAGCGAGAAAAGTGACCAATGGAAGATGCCGCCCTCCGGCCTCCAAAGGCAGCCCTGCAGATCAGCCGCCCACGAGGCCGTCCAGCCTGGCGTTGCTCTGGCCAAGAGGCCCAGCTGGTTCTCCCGCGCCCGGCCCTCTACCTGCTGGAGCTGCTTGATGCTGCTGTGGTTGCCCATCTTCTCCAGCTGCGCCTTGAAGGCCTGGATGCTGGCTGCCCCATCCGAGAAACGGCGCACTGGGGAAAAGCGCTCTGTGGGGAGGTGCAGCGTGTTCGAGTCCTTGTAGACGTAGCTGGGGACACAGAGGGAAGGAGGAGGAGGAGGAGGAGGTGGTGGTGGTTAGGAGGAGCAGCTGGACCCCAGGGCCATTTCCCCAAAGTCCAGCCTCCCCCCTCCACTCCTCCCCCACAGCAGGACAGGAGCCACTTGGGACGAAAGAATCCGATTGCTGGCTGCCTGCCAAACATCCCCGACTCATCTCTTATTGGCCAGAGCAAGTCCTGGCAGTGAGAAGCAGCCCTCCCCCTGGGCTCCAAAGCCACGTCCATGGGGGGGGGGGGATCTGGCTTCAGGGCCTTTCTGGCCACCTCCTGAACTCCCAGGGGCATGGGGGAGAGGAGCTGGGGGGTCTCCGCGGCCCCTGCCCCCGATGCCATCTTTCCAAGACCGGGAAAAAGCATTTGGCATTTGCAGCGTGTGCTTCTTCTCTTTGCCACAAGAGCCCAGAAAGGCTGCAGCTGATCTTAACTACAGGAGGAGCAGAAAGGAACCGCCATTGTTTCCTGATCATCTTCAGCACATTGCAAGACCAATCCCCAGGTGCAAGGAGGCGGTAGGACTGGCAGAAGAGAAAGGCTTGGCCAGGCCTGCCTAAGGCCCCTCGGCTCCAGAACAGACTACCCGGAGGGATCTCCATCAGGGTCCAGGCTTCAGACGAAGGTATCCCGGTTGGGGCTGATGGACCTGCTTAGCCGGCACGGCCCAGGCTAAGACATCTAACGTCTACAGAGAACTGCCGGGAGGGATTTAAAAGGCGCTTTCCCTGGGAGGGCCTGGATGAGGGCAACTGAACCGAGTTTCAAGGCAAAGAAGAGACGTTCCTGGACAGGAAGCAGGCCAAGACGGGGGGGGGGGGTTCAGCATCCCCCCCTCCAAGGAGTCAGGCTGGCCTTTGGGCGCACCCATCTTAAGCAGTTCCGTGAAGCCAGCCCTGGCCACGGAGGCCAACCAAGGGAGTGCTTGATATGCACCTGGCCTGGGGCTCCCTCGGACGAATCCTGGGAAACACGGCCAAGTTCCTCTGCCCTGGTTACCAGTTGCTTCCTTGGGCAACCCCCCTCGCCCCATGGCCTCAGCCTCCCTCTCTGGGAATGGGCTTCCCCCAGGGGCCTCGTGGATTGCAGGAGAGGCCCGTTCTCCAGACGTGAATAGCGCTTAGCGTTGGCTTTGGGCTTCGTGTCCTGCAAGCACTCCCGCCTTGGGCCTCCTGTGAACGCTGTGTGAATCTGAGTGACGTGCATGGACAGCTAGCGTAGAAATCTTTCAACCAATGATTAAAAGTCAGTCAAACCATCCCGTTCTGTCTTGGACTGAGGAGAAGGGGGCAAGAGGGGAGGCCAGGGACCCCACCCAGGTTCTCCCCTCCTGTCAAATCCATGAAGTCAGAGCGGCTGAGTGGGCTCCTCACTAGCTCCTCACTAGCCTGGTGCTTCCCCAGCCCAGATCCCCCACCCTCAACATACCACTTCCAGGGCACTGCAGGCCCTCCCTTCCCTTTGCCTCTCCTGGACGAGGCTTGGCAGGTTGACTAGCAAACTCCACAGCAAGGGCCTCTCAGATTTCTTCTCCTCCCCCCAGCTCAACAATGGCAGATTTCAAGTCACTGGGCCATCTCTGGAAGGGCCTGGGAGCCTTGCATGCCAAAGCCTCCATGCAGCTACTCTCCATACTGCCTGCCTCTCCCCCCACCCCCAAGCCACCCTCCTGTTCTACAGCAACGCAAGGGCTGTGGCTGTGGGGGGGGGGACAAGGGGGGGCAGCAGTGAGCCCTCCACAAAGGCTTTCAGGTGGTCCTTCGTGGCTTCCTGGGGCCTAGCAGAGCGGAGGGAGGGACGAGGCGGCCCAGAGCAGCTTCAGCCAGCAGCCCAGCTGAGTCACAGAAGGGGCGGACTCTTATCTCTGCCCTTTGGCTCGGCTTCCAGCGTGGCACCCATGTGGCCCAGCTGGCTCAGAGTCCACCTGCTCCACCGGTGACATCATGCTCTGCCCGGGGAGACCCCCAGCTCCCCTCAAGACCTGGGGGCGGGGGCTCAGTGGGGGCAAACGAAGGCGAGGGAGAGAGAGGGAGCAGAGCCCCTCCTGCTGGCCTTCCCAGGGAGGGAAAGGCAACAATGTCCGAGGCTGAGAGGTCATTTCGCAAGGATCAACGGTCAGCACTGCTGCCTCTGCCCCTTCCACTCTCCCCCCCCCCCCCCCCCCCTTGGAATTTTAGCCTGGAAGAACTGCAGGCCAAGAGGCCACCCTAGTACAAATCCGCTGGGCGAGTTGTTGACACGGACAAGGTTCAGAGGTGGTTCTCCGAGGGCGGCCTGGAGAGGCAGCCCCTGTGTCAGCACAAACACAGGCGGTTGGGTGCTCTGACCACGTCGTCCCCCCCCCCGTCCCAAATCAGAGTCTATCAAGCTGCTGATGCTGTTGCTGAGGTGGCGGTTTTCCAGCTCCACCCTGGATCCACCAAGTCGTGGAGAGTTGGCAGGCGGCCACCCACTTAGCCAGCTGCCCACCAAGCTGCCTTCCGGGGGCTGACAAAGCCCCCACCTCTGCTCTGCTGAGGGGCTCAGCGCTGACCTCCGCGAGGCCCAAGGGGACAGGGAGCTTGAGGGGCCACCGGCAAGCGGAGAGCGGCAGGCGTCTGGGCCAACTGCAGGAGCTTCTGCCCTCCTCTGAGGGGCAGCTTCCCAAGCGTCCGGTGCCGCTACTCACCGGTGCTGGTCAGGTGCCAGGTGTGCGGCCCGGGAGCGGAAGGGCTGCTGTCCGAGCTGCCTCTGCAAGTCGGGCGGGATTTCCGCGGTGGGGTTGGTCATGGCCAGGGTGTGCCTTTTTGACCTATTGGCCAAGTATCTGCAACGAGCGGGAGCAGAGGAAGTGAGCGGGAGCCCCTCGGAGGAAAGGCAGCGCCCGGGACCTCCTGAAGGCAGATGGGCGGCGGCAGCAGCAGCAGCAGCAACAGTGGGGGGGGGGGCAGCCTCTTGCCCACCTCTCCATAGCCGTGTATGAGGGACGGGGCAGAGAGAGGCAGAGAAAGAGAGAGCGAAAGGCCGGCCATTTCTGGCACAGCCCCACTCTGGAGAAAGCGGAAGGGCCAGAGAATTAAGCCAAGCAGGTGGAGATGCGAGCAGGCTCACCCAGAAGGAAGGAGGGGCAAGGAAGGCTACCTCAGCACCCGTGCTGGGCCCCCCAAGGAGGGCAAGGCTGGCAGGAGAACCACTCCAATGTGGCCCCCACCAGCAGAATTCAAGGGCTGATGGGGCACAAAGGGTCAGAGAGGCCCAGCCTTTCAGCCCGGCAGAAGGAGGCCATCGAGGCAGCCCGTCCAGTGCAGGGCTGGAAGGAAGAAATGAAACCCTGGTGCCTTTTCCTTCTGTGTGGGGCAGACTCGGGAGCACCAGGCCCACACCTAAGGCTGCAGGTGGGGCAGGCTGAAAGGAGGCTGCTGGCTAGCAATGACCATGCTTCAGCTAACCGGGATGCCAACCTATGACCCGTAAGAAAAACAGGAATCTGCCCCAGAGAGGGGAAGGCTGGGAAGGGCCTGCCTGCCTGCCTGCCTGCCTAGACCAGTTTTCCCCATTCTCTGGTAACTGGCGGGAGGGCAGGAAGAGGATGCATCGAAGGAAGGGCACGTAGGGCAAGGCAGCCATGAGGAGCGCAGCAGCAACGCTTCCCTCGGCCACACCGCCATGCACACACACACACACACACACACACACACACGCATCCAGATGATCCAGGAAGAAGCAGAAGACGACATCAGTGGCCACCGCGCAGGCCAGCCCTGCCCCATCCGTGTTGGGGGGGAATGGGGTTAAGAGGGCCATTTTCTGACCCGCTGCTTGCTCTGCTCGGAGCCTCTGGGGAGCAGCCTTGCCCAACGGGAGAGCCCGCCCTAAGCTGCCTCTCTAGCCCGCCAGGTTCAGGTGGGGAGGAAGGGCTCCCTCTAGAGCAGCCACCTGGCCTGGGATGATCAGTTGAAGAGAACCGGAAGAAGCCGGAGGGCAGAGGCCGGAGGAATTCCGCTCATGCAGCCGATGACTCAACCCCTGGCTAAGCGAGGGAGGGAAGGCGCACCGCTCAGGGCCTGCACGAGGAAGAAGGCAAGATCCGTTGGCCGCCTTGTCGTTTAGGACGGGGGTCACCAACTTGTTCAGCCAGCAGGCGCTTTTCGGTGATGTCACAGGAACCATCAAAAAATCTCATCTCTTATTTTAAAATTGCCTAGATCTTGCAAGTCCTCATGGGAGATTTTAAAAACGAATCTGAGAGGACCTCTGCAAAGGTTGAGTGGGGGAAACACGCCGGTATCAGCTCTACGAAAGGGTTGGCAGGAGCACTTCCAGGTTGCCTTCACTCTTCAAAGGCAAGACGTGAGAAAGGTCCTTTTCTGCTAGAGTTCCCGGGGAGGTTCCGCTCGCTCTGGTCCCACTCTGAGGTCAGGCAGCCTTTAGAGCGGCCTCACCCGAAGGACTTTCCCCTCCTCTGCTCACTAGGCAGCCTCTGGGGCAGATGGCCGTAGAGTGGCCACCTTAAGGGTTCCTCTGTGCTCTAATGACGTCCAGGCCGTCTCTTCCCCTTCTCTGCTCCCATGGGAAAAGAGTAGCCTCACTTCCAAAGGAGCCTCTGTCCTCAGCATGGGCCAAGGGGCCTGGGAGTCAGGCCGGCCAGGTGCCCGACCGCTCTGATTGCAAGAGAGGCTCAGCAGAAGATCCCGAGCTGCAATCCAAACCGATACCGAATCTTGGACTTACCAAAGACTTTGGGGGCCGTAACCCATTTCCTCAGATGCTCTAAATGCTCTAAAGGCAGCAAGGCCCCTGGGGGAGTTATTGCCCCTTCCTTTGATTCCTATAGCTGTTCATCTCAACCAGTGGCTCTCGTTTTTACCACAACGGCCTCCTACCCCGAGCTCTGGGAATCAGCAGTCAAGGCCACTGCCAGTCTTTCCCAGCGCAGAAGCTACAAGGCAAAGCCCTTCGGCTGTAGGAAAGGAAGCCGCTGGGCACCAGCCGGGCAAATGCTGGGTGCCTCCCCTGGAGCGTTATACTTACAGAAGGCCGCCCCTCCCCTCCGGTCAGTGCAAAGAGGTTAGTGAGAGAGAGGAGGGCAGGTCCAGGCAGCAGAAGCCCTCAGCTCCCAGGGAAGCAAAAGCAAGCGGAAGCCCCCGGGAGGCAGGTGGGAGCGTTACCTCTGCACGGCTTCCTGGTCTGGCTCCCCGTCCGAGCTCTCCTCGTCCACGGGGGTCACAGCAGGCACTGCCTGAAGGGAGACAAGATCACTGGCTGCGCTTGGCCAACAGCTTCTCCAACGGCCCCCCTCCGAGGAGGAGGAGGAGGAGGAGGAGGGCAAGGCAGAACAAGCGGCCCATCCCACAAGGCTCAGGAAACAGGACGGCAACACCAAGGCCCACCAGCCCTCCCCAGGACCCAGGCTGGATGAGCAGGGAGGAAAGCCAGTTCAAGGCCTCCTCCACCCTTGACCGGGGGGGTCTCTGTCACCTGACACAAGCAAGCACAGCCAAAGAGGCCCTTCTGGTGAGCCACCTATGGAGAGGGGGCCCTAAGGAAGTCGGGGCTTACGGGTGTCATGGTCACGAGGGGAGATGGGCCTCGAGGACGCTTCAGGAGCTGCTGGGCGTGCAGCTGGATGTTGGCTCCCCCGTCGGAGGCCCTGCGCCCCAGCGGCCCCATCCCATTCAGCAGCTGCAGCGTTGGCGGCTGCAGCAAAGACTGCTCCTGCAACAAAGCTTTCTCTCACTGCCGCTCTCTGCTCAGCTGCCCCTCGCAAAGGCCGGGGCGGGCGCTCTCTGTGCCCCCCTCTCAGCACCCAGAGGAAGGGAAGGTACCTTGTACTCCAACTGGCCGGTCGGCTGCAAGTGCTGCATGGGAAGCATGTTGGCTGCCATGTTCACATTTGGGGCCACCTGCAGGAACGGGGCCTGTGGGGCGATTCGCGGGAAGCCGGGGAGCAGCTTCTGCAGATCCTCCATCACCTCAGTGCTGCCAAAAGGAAGAGACAAGCGCTTGGACACCAGAAGCTGGAGACCGCGGCACACCTGCCTTGGGCTCCACGGCTTCTTGGCCAAACTGCTGGGGGAGGGGCTGAGAAGCAATCCCACTAATAGGCCCACCTGTTACTCGGAAGGGACTGAAGCGGGGGGTGGGGGTGGGGGTGGGGGTGGAGGGGGGTCAGCACAGCTCACCGAGGATCAGCCACACCAACGGTGTGTCTTCGCATGGAGAGGTAACGGACCAGAGCTTCGGGAGATGGCTCCTCTCCTTCATCGCTGTCCAGGTTCATGGTACCATCCGTCTGTAAGGGAAAAACCCCAGAAGGAGGAATGCAGGAGCCTCCGGAAGAGAAAGGAGAGACCCCAAGAAGAAGCCCTGGATGGGGAGGCCCTTACCTCGACTATCTGGTTGTCTGGGTTGATGAGCTGCACTTGTGGGACGCTGAGGCTCACTGGGTTGCCAGCAGGTTCTGCCTGTAAAGCAGACCCACCACCCAAATACTGAATGCCCTGCCACCAAGAGCTGCCTTGCCCCAGGTTCCACACACAGGTCCCCTACCAGGACAATAGTGGCTTTGCTCAAGAGGGGTGGGGAAGACCATGTGAGGCCTCAGCCTGGACTGGAAACAATCCAAGAAAGAAATTTCTAAGAGCTCCGGTTAGAAGTATTATCAGAAGAGAAGAGAAATTAAGTCCACCTCTGACTTTCACACAGAGACAGGCAACGTTTCCTCTCTTCTTCTCTGGAGAGGCCTGCCTCTTTTGTGGAGAAGGAGTGGGGAGCAGTGGCTTCTGTCCCATAAGCCACTCCAGCCGGGGAGAAAAGGAATTCTCACAGGGAACCCTGCTTCAGTTTGGCGGTGACAAAGAAAGGCCCTTCTCCATCCCCCCCAGTGAAGTCCTCCTGATGCCCAGCTTGCCTTCCCTTGGCTGGGCCACACTGGAGCCCTGCCCACCCCAGAGCTTGGCAGGTAGTCAGACAGAGGGCAGAAAGGAACCCAGCCACAGCTGTCTTATCCCTCCACACGGTGTCCGTCTGCCAGGCCAGAGCGAGAGAGCCATTCCCGGTTCACCGGAAGCTCCTAGGCAAAAGCCCCCAAAGTGCTGTGAGGCCAGGGACGAGGGCTCCCTCTCTGAGCGTTTTCCCCTTGCTGGCTGCCCAGCAGCGGAGCCGCCTCTGGCCCAAGACTGACCTGGAGACTGGCAGGTGCTGGAAAGGTCAGAGTCCGGGGAAGGCTGGGCAGGGCCGAAGTACGCAGGGTTTTATGCCTCTTCTGGCGATCACAGAGAAGGCTGTAGATTGCACTGTAGTGGTCGTAGGCCTCTGTCCTCAACGACTAGGAGGGCACAAAAGCCACAGGTCACTCTTCCCTGCCCCCAGAGCGTGCCTAGAGGTCCCCAAAGGGCCAGTGGCCTTGGTACCTGGAGGGTGCGCTCCTTATCCAGCCCCATCTCCGCCATGGCCAGCAGCACCTCCTCATTCAGGGGCTCCAGCTGCCTCTCGGCTTTCAGCTGCTGACATTCTGCTATTAACTGGAAAGCAGAGAACTTTTTCAGGGCTGCTTGTTCCCACGACAAGGAAAAGTACAGATCCTCAAAGGGAGGAGTGGTTGCAGCTTATGAGCTGGCTGAGCAGGACGTCATCCCCCTCTCCCCCCTCCCAAGGAAATTTCCCAGCCCCAAAGAAGACCCACCATAGAGCTGAGAAATGAGAAAGCAAGGCTGGCAGCGAAATCAGCCCCAGGGACCCCACTGGCAGGAACAAGCCCCTTCCCTCACCTTCCCCTTCCTTCCCTTGTGGGGAGCCTACGGATGTGCATCTGCTCTAGGGCTGGCCCCACCTTTACAAAGTCCCCTTTACGCTGACCTGGTCGCCCAACCTACCCCACCTGCTTTTATACCGAAACGTCTTATGAAAGCCAGTAAAACGAAGGTACTCACTGTACTGAAGTCGGTGTCTGCTTCCCCAAGCTTCATCCACTTGTGCTTGCAGATCTGCTCCATGGAGAGCCGTTTGCTCGGCTCCAGCACCAGCATGTGGCGGATCAAATGTTCACACTCTGCAAGAGAGCAGCTGGGATGGGACCGGAGGACACGCTCCATGGGATGCTCCTGCATCTCCCGAGGGTCCCTCCTTTGCCCTTCGATCTGCGGCTTGATGCGATTCTCAGAACGGGAGTTGGTCCTTACCAACTCGCTCTCCTACTGCAAAGGGCAGGCACCCCGAGCCCCTACTCCACCAGGACCCCACGGCCAAACTGTGATGCTGCAGGCCCCAAGAAAGGGGTCCAATGCCTTGCTGCGAGGACCACCCAGAAGCAAAGCCCTTTTTACATGGCCCATCTGCCCACAACTGACGCTAGTTCTATGTTTGTTACCGTCCTCGAGAACCTAAGAAGGATACTGATCCAGCACAGAGGGAGCCTTAGTCTGGCCGGCCAGTGCCCCACATTCTCTCCTTCGGTGTGCCACAGAGTGGATGGGGGGGTTGACCTTCCATCCATCCTGTGTTTTCTTAAATGCTTCACTTGCATTTTCCCCCACAAAAACTCCACGAAAAGTTCTGGACTGATACCACCATTTTTCTACGGAAGGACGTCTTCTGCCTCTATCAAAGCACTGAGGTTCATCTAACGGGCCCATGTCAACACAAGGCCAAAGTTTAACCACCTCATTCCTGGCAGGAATCAGGGGAACCACAGAAGCAGCCTGCCTGCTCAGGGCTTGTGTGCTGAAGGTGACTTGTAGGTGAAAGCACCACTGTTCCAAAGCTGAGCCCGGCTGGGACATTCGCTGGCCTGATCCTGGGCCTGCCTAAGGCTGCCCCTCCCTTCCATGGCGGAAGACATACAAGTTCTAATTAATCAGACCACAGGAAATCATTTTAACACAGTTCTGCAGTAGGCAGAACTAAATTCCGCCCACTGAATGTTAGATGATGGCTTCCTGCTCACAGGAGGAGGAAAGGCAGGGGAGCCTCAATTCCCTTTTATACGGGGTGGGTGGGGGGCGGTGGGCGGTGGTGGGGGGTGGGGGTAGAGGCAGGCAGGGAGTCTCACGGAAGCTTTTCAAGCTTGCAGCAAAATAATCTGCTTTAACATTTCCCCAGCTCGGTCCTTTCCTGGTGCCTCACTTCCTGCAAAACTAAAAGGCATCAGAAAAACTAATCCTGGCCTCCTCCCTCTTTCCCACCTGGGGGAGTAGAGCGGGGGAAGACTCTGGGCCAGGCAGGGGGTCCTCAAGGCAAGCAGCAGCTTGGAAAACAGGAACTGGCCACAAGCACCACCTGACTTTCCCACTGAAGCAAAAGAGACCAAAGAAAAGCCGTGCACAGAAAGGCCCAAAATGGGCTGTTTGGATCACTCCGAATTTCAACAAATTGTACACTCTGATAAGCCTGTGCCTGGTCCAGTCAAGCGCTGACTGTTGTAGCCCGTTTTTATCCTGGAGGAGGCAAAGGCAACTGCCTCTTTCTGCAAGCAACCCTGTTCCAAATAGTGGGGGGTGGGGGGTGGGGGGTGAAGTGATACCCGTTTTCGGGCACAAGCTTCTTAGGCAACTGCCGCTTCAGCCAATGGACACAAGGAAGCAGGACCCAGATCCTGCGGTGTCCGTCTGCACGCACCACCCCCCAAACACACTGCTACGCTGGCATCCCGTGCTCCGTACCTGTTGACATGAAGAACGGGATGCGGAACTTCCCGCTCAGCACCCTCGCCCGCAGGTTCTGCAGCGTGCTGCCATCGAAGGGCAGGGCCCCACACACCAGCACATAGAGCACCACCCCAAGGCTCTGCAAAAGAGGAGGTCCTGAGTCCCCTTGGTAGGGCAGCGGGGAGGGAGGGAGGCCTCGCAGAGGAAGGCCAGGGGAGCAAACGGACCAATTTCCCAGCCCAATGGCCAGAGGAGGCCAAGGCAAAGATTCCAGCTTTGAAGCTTCTTGAAGCCGACGAGGCCCTTCAGGCCGCTCCCAAGAGAGAAGAGAATGCCTTGGCCACTTACCCAGATGTCCACTTTCGGCCCATCGTACTCCTTCCCTTCAAAAAGTTCAGGGGCAGCGTAAGGGGGGGACCCACACCAGGTCTTCAGTAGCTGACCAGGAGTGAAGATGTTACTGAATCCAAAATCTGGCAGAGAAGAAGGAAGGAAGGAAGGGCCGGTGATTTCCCTCCAAACTGCCTATTGCCTAATGCCCTGCACAAGACCAGGTGGGCGTCCAGGGGAAGCCAGGGAGAGCAGCACGCAGAGCAATCGCCTGGCCAGAAATGCCGCCCCTGTGTGCCCCCTGGTTTCCCCACAACCCTCCAGCACAACCCTTAAGGTGCCTCTCCTGGCAGGAGCTGGTGATCTGCCCCGCCCCCACCCCCCGCCCCCCGGCTTTTAGACCCCACTGCCCCAAAATGACTTTCACTGGGTTTGTGCTGAATTGAATTTGCCAGTGTAATATCGTTGAGTCTGCAGATCCTTTTAGATCTCTTCTCTTCCTGCTTCAGCCAGGCTAAACAATGACGTGCCCTCAGGAAGTGCAGCCATTCCATGCAAAGCCCACCTTGCTGTCTCTCTTGCAAGGACTGTTCATGAACTCCCATTCGCCCTTTCTGAACTTCCTTTGCCTGCCAGTCCACGAAGGGCCCGCCTGTTTTGCCAGGAGATCTTTGGAAAGCCTGAGGTATAATGGATCACCTGCTATTTTGATGTTCAGATTTGCATCCAGCAGCAAATTCTCGGCCTTCAGGTCTCTGTGGACAATATGGTGACAGTGGCAGAAGTGCACAGCTGCTACTATCTGCTTAAACTTCTTCCGAGCCTCTTTTTCAGCCATTCGTCCGTGAGCCACCAGGTGATCTGAAGGAGAGGCGGGAGGGATGAAGCCGGTTAGACGTCTATTCTGGGCGAATGATGGGACATGCAAGGAAGTGACCTGGGGAGAAATTGATTAGGCCACCTGTGGAAGGAGACGCGGTGTAACTGCCAGCCAAAACTGCTGGTGGGGTAAACTGCTCTCTTGAACTTCGGCACGTTTCCTCCCAAACCGCCTGCAGGGAAAGAGCGAGGCCGATTGGCAGCAAAGGGTTCTCTCCTGTTGGAGCAGCGTCCCCAGGGGCCTGCTCTCGGCCCAGCCCCAAGGCTGCCTGCCAGCCCTTCAGGCACTGACTGGAGCAGCTTCCCAGGCTCCTCTGGGAAGCTCGGCCTTGCCAAAGCTTTTGGGGAGAAGCCAAAGAGAAACCTTTCTGGGCAAGAAGGATGGCCTCACAAGGCATGGCCGCCACTTTAGATCCCACTCCACCCCCCACCTCCCCCACCCCCCACCCTCAGTGAAAAGAGCACCTGGCCTCCCTGGCTGGGACAAAAAGGAGCTGAACCTTCATATGGGGAGGGGTGGGGGAACGACCCACATGCAAAGCACCCGTCCTGCAACTGGACCTCTTTGTCCGGATGCACGTTGAGGAGTTCTGCTAACCAAGCAACCTACAACAGCCGGTGTTTGCTCCGCTCACCTCCACGAAGGCTGAGCTGCTTTTGAGAGCAATCAGGCCAGCCAGTGCAGACAGGCCTCTGCCCAAGCTGAGAGGCCCTGATGTCTCATACTCCCAGCACCGCACTCCCCTCTTCCTCTGAGAAGCCCTTCCAGAAAGAGGAAGCCACCCTCTGCCTAAAGGGCCAACAAGCGACGGCGTCCCGGGAGATTCCTGGATCCCCCACAGTCTGGGCCCAGACCGGAGCTGCGCCACTGAAACAGCTCCCCACCCCCACCCACTCTGACACTTGCTCCTACCATAATCGGGACTTCTTTGGAGTGGCAGAGCAGGTTCAGTCAGCCTGCCCACGGGCAAAGGGGAGTTGGGCAAAGCATGGCAAGTGAGGAAGGGCATCCTCCACATGAGAGGGAATAGAGGGGCTGGGAGGGTCTCGCATAACCAGGGAGGGCAGCATGCAGACAGAGCTGGGAAGAGAATGGCAGCACTGGCTTTCCTGGACCTGTGGGAGCTGGCTAGGCCCCAGGGCTGGCAGCAGGAAGATGGTGCCCGGGCCACCGAGAAGGGTGGGCTTTCCTGGGCTCTTCATCTTGGCAACTCGCCCTGCCAAGAGGGGCTGTGGCTTTTGGCTCCCCAAAGCCTCCAGGCAGCTGCAGAGCGCCTCCCGAGAGGCTGCTGCCAAAATGTGACTTAATGTGATCCCAGACGAGAGTGACAAAATACATAGGGGGTAACCACAGCAAACGTGTCCGATTATAATATATTTCAATTATATTTAAACTTTTAGTTTTTGCTCTGGCCCTGCCTGCTTTTTGGGATGCAGTGCAGTAAGACGGGAAAGCCAAGCGTGGCTGTGGCCCAAGAAAAGGAGATTCCCTTTGGGTCATAAAGGTTCAGGGTGGAGTCTCCTTATGGCCTCTTTATCAGCTGAAGTCACCTTGGCTCTTCCCAAAGTCGCCACTGCAACTTTGCCCTGTTAAAAATAAACCTTAAAAATAAACCCAAGAAAGGGACTGGCCTGGATGGCCCTGTTCTTGCACTAACCTGGCTTGCCAGATGGTTTTTGGTGCTCTGGGAAACTCAGCAGGGCAGCCCGGTGGGTCTGCTTGGGCTGCCCGGGGACAATTCTAGCTCCGTTGGCAGCTGACCTGCACCAAAGGCCAACATCCTGCGCGGACTGTCCCTTTCCCCAAGTCTTCGTTATGACAAGCCCCCTCGGAATTCTCCGCTCTTCCTTTCCTCTTATCCAAGTGCACCAGAGCTCCCACAGCAATTATGCAGCAGTGGAAACTTCCAAGACCAAAGAGCATCAGCCACAAAGTAAGCAAAAGGGCCAGCAGCTATTTTATTTACTGGAGTTGACCAAGTATATTTTGGTTGAATAAGGCAAACAAGGCACTTACCAAATATCTCCCCTCCGCTGGCATACTCCGTGACCAGATAAATCATTCTCTCCGTCTCCATGACCTGCACAAGGGCAGAAAAGCAGCTGATACGGAGAGGCTCAGGACAAAACACCCTCGGCTAATCTGGCTTCTTCTTGGGGGGAGGGGTCCACAGAAGGATTCCCCAGGGGACAGGCACCAGAGGCTCCACAGACCGATGCTTTACGGTTATCTTCTACGCTCCCAACAAGACCGTTTTACTCGGAAACCACTGCATCCCTCTGAATCAGCAAGAGGCCTCTTGATTGTGGGGGCCAAAAGGAAGCCTTGCAGAGGCCAAGAGCCCACCTGCCCAGTGAGGTTCCCTTTGGATCCGAAGGAGCCCGAAGGTTGGAGGCCCCTCCTGCCCCTCCCCCAAAGTCTTTACCAACATGTTGCCTGTCCCCGTCTCAGTTACTCAGCCGCCAGACCTGATACAATCTGATGATATGGGGGTGGCACAGCATCTTCATAATCTGCACTTCTCGAAAAATCTTTTTGAGGTTCTCTTCATCCAGCTGAGTCTTGTCAATGATCTTTATTGCGACCTGAAAGGGCAAACATGAGAGTAGATATTATTAAACCCAGAATGGGCAGGTTGAGCAGAAGAATTGCTGCTCCTCACCATCTGATTCGTTCTGAGAGCATAAAGCTACCAGAGAGGAAGAAAAATGACTGCTCTATTGAACTGAATGGTTTATTTCTAACTCTGAATAACTTGCCAAGGTTGGGCCAAAAACCCTAATAGGTATGACAGAGATGCCAGCAACTTTCTATAAACTGTGCTCTGAATGGTGGCTTTCCATGAATTTAGTAATTTGAGGAAGATTGTATAAATCGGTTACATTCATCCGTAATGCCAAGCATTCTGAACTAGTCAAAGTGGCCCAATTCAGATACTAATTTAAACCCAAAACAAGAAAACCACCTTGTGTGTGAATGCTGATGCAGGAATCAGAGCAGGTACTTGGGGGGGGGGGGGGAGGGAGGGAGAATAGCAAATAGACTTTGTAAATACCTTAGAAACTCTCGAAGGTGTTATTTTTACAATGGAAGGGAACACAGATCATCAAATAAAGCTTTTCTCTGCTCAAGCGTCTCGTTTTTAACCCAAAACGTTCAGAAAACAAGACTGCCCTAGCCAAGAGTTCCATCTTGTGGAGCTACTTTCAACTGCCAAAAATCCATACAGCACTCAGTTTAGAAACAGGGATGTCAGAAGGTGGTATTATGGGCTAGCTGAAGAGTTCTAGCCCTTGCCTAACAAGGCCAGGCACCCCTCCTGTCTCTATCTCTGCCTTCGGCCTTGCCCCCCTTCCAAGATTGGCCTCTTGGTCTCCTGATTATCTATTTTGCGCTCAGAAGGTCTCTGAGCACCACCTGCGGAGCAGCCGTTTTGGGTTGCCAAGGGCTTCCTTTTCTTCTACTGATGCCCCCTCTCTCAGCCCAGCCTGCCTACCTCACAAGGTGGTTTTCAGGGAGGAATGGGAAGAGTAAGCACAAGGTGCCTTGACTTGAGCTCCCAAAGGAAAGCTGAGATCCAAGGTCTAATATAAAAAGAGTAAAATAAACTCAAAGGTCCCTGTATCTAAGTTCCTGCAAATCCGAGTTCTTCAGCCCAGCCCAGCAACAGCTCTGCAGGCAGCTGTGGGAAGAGAGGCAGGGAGCCCATGAGAGGGATCAACCGTGAATGAGGCTGCTGGCGGTTCTCCACACTGCTCGGTCACCGTGGCTCTTGGCTCTCCTGTGTTCCACCCCATCCCAGCAGATCCTTGCCGAGGCCTTCGCTCCGGTGTTTCAAGCCATCTACTTTCCTGCCTGGGTATCTGTCACCATGGCGATCGCAATTCCACACAAAACCCAATGCCACTTTCCTGGTGCAAATGCCGGGAGCAAGAAGGAGAGGAACTCTCTGCTTTGCCCTTCAGGCAGCAAAATGTTTTACCACCAGCTCCTTCTGCCTTCTTGAGCCCTTTGCAGCGGCCGTCCCGGAGTGGTAGGTCATCTCTCTTGCCTCCCTGCTCAGGGCTTTCGTGATTCCGTGGCCCCTTTCAGGGGAAGAGGGGCCCTTTCCTCCCAACAAGCTGCTGACCAAGATCAGAGGGCAGCTCTGCTCACTGAAGGGAAAGCAGGAGAAGGAGGGGAGAGCAAAGCTGGAAAAAACTGGCTTCATCAGGGAAACTCTCCTCCCCACCCGAGGAAGCTTCAGCGCAGGACAATAAAAGCCACCCTGCTCTCTGCTGAAGCCCCCAAGCGTGGAAGGTCTACAGGCAGGGGGTGCAGGGTCTGGAGCTCCTCCAGGAAAGCTCTGTGGGGAAGCAGGTGTGCTTCCACCTCTGGAAGTGTGCCACAAGGTCACTTAATAAGCTTTGCTGCTGCTTTAAAAAAGCCAAGGAGGCAATCACTGAGGGGAGCCACCGGGGGGGGGGGGGGGGGGGGGGGGGGGGGGTTGACATCCTGACTAAAATTAAGGCTTCCTGTGCAGAACCTTTGGAACATGCTTAATGATCCATCCACCTTCTCTCTTGGCAAAACAGCCGAAGACGACAGTAAAAGGAAATCCTTCAGTCCAATTATTAAACACCTTTTGAAACTCCGACTCTGGGGATAACACTGATCCATCTCCCCACTACAGATGCTCATATCAGCCATCTGAGACAGTCGATCGTGGGCTGCATTACGACGTTGACAAATCTGTTCTGCTGCCTCCTGCATGCTCGATACACCCCTTTCTTCCCCACAGTGAGGTTCCGGGTTTGTGACATGCTGTTTAATTCAAATGTAGGCCCACTTCTTTGAACCGTGTCGATCTTTGCAAAGCTGCACCTACAAACATCAGCCTGAGTCTTCCCAGAATGGCCAGGAATACGGCGCTGGAGCCAACGTGGCCCAGCCATCTGTTCCCTGTCTTTGCGTGGGCAGCCAACAGGTGGCACCACTGACATACCTCCACGGCAGGAGTGACCCACTGAACTCTCCTGCAGCCTTCGCTCCCACCTCCCAGCCCCGGAAATGAGCACAGCCAGAACTGTTCTCACATGCGTGTCACATCCAAGCAGTCATCCTAAGAACTATAAACAATCTGACAACCTCTGGGTGCCTTTGCTGGGACTGAGCCCAGAGCAGCCTGGCCAAAGAAGCTGGGGTGCTTCCTGACCGGAGTTCTCCAGGCAAAACTCAACTAAATAATATTACATCACAGGATTTAAATTTAATAACCGGGAGTCAATGACAGGCTCAGCCAAATGGCAGCCTGCCTCTCTGTGCCGTGGTCCAATCTTGGCATGCCAGGAAACGGTGCAGTGGGGCATAAAAAGCTCCCAGGGATAATGGCTAGCAATTTGGAAATCCGAGTAGCAATCTGGGTAGCCCCACATATTATGTCTTGCATTATATACAGACTTATATAGTACATACTCACACACACACACAATGTATGTGTATGTAAGTGTGCGTGTATATATAATGTATATGTATCTATACCTACACCTACCTACCTACCTGTATACATACATCCCATTTTTTCTTTTTAATTAGCATGGCAAATCCCCCCCCCCCCAATTCTGCCTGGGCTCGATCCCCTGTGAAACAGTTCCAGGCCCTTCGGGGGGGCCCAGCCTGGCCCTAGGAGCCCCCGGATGGCTTTTCATAGAAGCTGTGCTAGGAGCCTTAGAAATGGACATTGTGAAATTGGTGCCTTTGGCTTCAATACTGAAAACACAAAAGGACGGGCAGGGCAGGGCAGGGCAGGGCAGAGGAGAAAGGGGAGGGGAGGCGGGCAAGGGGTGCCCACAACCCAGGACAGCAGCCACGCAGGGAACGTGTCCGCAGGCAGGGCCGATTCTGTGAGCGCTGGGCAGGACAATGGGAGTGGCTATCCTCTCTTTCTCTCCCTTTCCAGGCAGCACAACTGCTGCTTTTCACACTCCCTCTTGGTGACCCTTCTTTTGCAGATATTTCAACAATCAGGGCATCCCACGGGGGGCGGGGGGGCATGAAGCAAACCTCCTTTCCCCCCCCTCCCTTTCCCCCTCAGTCCTGGAAGGGCACCCTCTGGGTTACCCGCTGAGCCAAGCTGCTTCCCCGATGTGAAACCCCTGGAGTTGGGAATCAGGGCTCTCCTGATGGGTGCAACTGCTCAGGGAAGCTCTGCCCGCGTCTCCTTTGAGGGGAGGCAGTTCGGATAAAGCGGAGAGTGACGCAAGCACTTCCACCAAGGAAACACAAACCAGGAGAGCAGATGATGATCCAACCGAGGCTGTTCTGTCCTCCAAGCAGCTTTCCCACACATGTCCCCAAGCATTCATCGCAGCCCGTGGGTGGGGGAGACGGAAGCCATCTCCCGGGGATGCAGCCCTGAACCTCTCAGAAAGAAGGAAAAGGGGGGGGGGATCCGTTCCTTCTTCCAAGTGCGGAGTGGCTCAGGCACGCCGATCATCTCACCTACCGACAAGGAACGGGGGTGGGTGGGGGGTGGGGGCACACAAAACGGACATCCACTTTTAAGATGCACGATGGAGTGGAATGTACGTCTCTCTTGACGGTCTGTCAACTCTGGTAAAATAGAATTTAAAATGTCCAAATCTCATTCATGGTTCTATCGAGGAATTTGTTTCAGTTAACTGATCGGAAGGGCGGAATAAGAGGCTGAAATGGACCTTGTTAAAGAGGGGAGGAAAATGGGGAAAGAGGCCCTGAAGAGTTCCTGGAAAAGGCTGCAGATAATTCAGAGAAGAAACTCTTGGGAACTCAAGAGCTGGGCGGTTATCAGTGTCATGAAAGCTGCAAAAATCGCCCACTTTGGAGATTAGAGGCGGCAAGGACTGAACAGGGCTGGGATGGAAAAGAGAGAGGCAGCATTTAATCACTTGTGAGAAAACGTATTTCACAAAAATCAAGCGAGCGTGCGTGACACAACTGCCAAAACAAAGTCAAACTAAAATCTAACCACATTCAACTGTGCAAAGCTGCCAAACCTTCAGTGATCAAATAAGGTAATAAACATAATGTGTACCCATTAAACGGAGGCTATGAAGTCACCGAGTAGCCTCTCCGCTATTCTCTGAAGCTGAAGCCAGCAGGAGCAACCTTGATGCCAAGCAGGACAGTCCGTCTGCCAGCCGTGGGATAACCTTCCTCTCAATGAACGTGGCTCTTAGATCACTCGGCAGGAGGTGCCAATGGAGCTGGAGCCCAGCGTAGCTGCTGAGCACTGGCACAGTGTCAGTGAGGAGCCGAAATGCCAGGCAAAGTTGCTTAGCAGCCCAGGAGTCCCAGCTTGCCAGAGCAGCAGAAGCATCCTCAAGAGCCCAGCATCCAAAAGCAGGCCGGGACTCCTGAGAAACGGCCCTGCTGACCTAAACCCGGGTCCCGGGCTCCTCCAGACCAGGGACCTGGACCCAAAGGGCAGGGGGTGACAAAGCAAGTTGCCTGTGACTGGTGTCACCCTGGTTATAGCACTGGAAGAGAGCTCATAAAGATGAAAGGCTCAGCAGCCTCTGCTAAATCTTGGGCTAATCCTCGGAGACTAAGTGGTGTCAATCTGGAT